TCAAAATTAATTTTTTGAAAATTTTCAGATTTTTGAACTTTTTTACAGGTCCGGGGTCATGAGTTTTTTCAAAAAATGACTTGTTTGATTTTTCCAAAATATAAGCTAGAAATTCATCGAAAGCACTTCAAATGTTGTTCGGAACATCAATTCACGTATTTCAGGTTGTCTCGTGTCAAAAAAAAATGTTTCAAAATTTTCAGATTTTTGAACTTTTTTACAGGTCCGGGGTCATGAGTTTTTTCAAAAAATTACTTGTTCGATTTTTCCAAAATATAGGCTAGAAATTCATCGAAAGCACTTCAAATGTTGTTCGGAACGTAAATTCACGTATTTCAGTTGTTTCGAGTCAAAAAATTTTTTTTCAAAATTTTCAGATTTTTGAACTTTTTTACAGGTCCGGGGTCATGAGTTTTTTCAAAAAATGACCTGGTTCGATCTTTCAAAATATGAGCTAGAAATTCATCGAAAACACTTCGAATGTTGTTCGGAACGTAAATTCACGTATTTCAAGTTGTGTCGAGTCAAAAAATTTTTTTTCCAAATTTTCAGATTTTTGAACTTTTTTACAGGTCCGGGGTCATGAGTTTTTTCAAAAAATAACCTGGTTCGATTTTCTCAACATATGCGCTAGAAATTCATCGAAAGCACTTCAAATGTTGTTGGGAACATCAATTCACGTATTTCAGGTTGTTTCAAGTCAAAAATTTTTTTTTGAAAATTTTCAGATTTTTGAACTTTTTTACAGGTCCGGGGTCATGAGTTTTTTCAAAAAATGACTTGTTCGATTTTTCCAAAATATAAGCTAGAAATTCATCGAAAGCACTTCAAATGTTGTTCGGAACGTAAATTCAAGTATTTCAGGTTGTTTCGAGTCAAAATTAATTTTTTGAAAATTTTCAGATTTTTGAACTTTTTTACAGGTCCGGGGTCATGAGTTTTTTCAAAAAAATGACCTGGTTCGATTTTTCCAAAATATGAGCTAGAAATTCATCGAAAAACACTTCGAATGTTGTTCGAAACGTAAATTCACGTATTTCAGGTTGTTTCGAGTCAAAAAATTTTTTTTTAAATTTTCAGATTTTTGAACTTTTTTACAGGTCCGGGGTCATGAGTTTTTTCAAAAAATGACCTAGTTCGATTTTTTCAAAATATGCGCTAGAAATTCATCGAAAGCACTTCAAATGTTGTTCGGAACATCAATTCACGCATTTCAGATTGTTTCGAGTCAAAAAAATTTTTTTGAAAATTTTCAGATTTTTGAACTTTTTTACAGGTCCGTGGTCATGAGTTTTTTCAAAAAATGACTTGTTCGATTTTTCCAAAATATAAGCTAGAAATTCATCGAAAACACTTCAAATGTTGTTCGGATCGTAAATTCACGTATTTCAGGTTGTTTCGAGTCAAAATTAATTTTTTGAAAATTTTCAGATTTTTTAACTTTTTTACAGGTCCGGGGTCATGAGTTTTTTCATAAAATGACTTGTTCGATTTTTCCAAAATATAAGCTAGAAATTCATCGAAAGCACTTCAAATGTTGTTCGGAACATCAATTCACGTATTTCAGGTTGTTTCGAGTCAAAAAAAATTTTTTCAAAATTTTCAGATTTTTGAACTTTTTTACAGGTCCGGAGTCATGAGTTTTTTCAAAAAATGACTTGTTCGATTTTTCCAAAATATAAGCTACAAATTCATCAAAAGCACTTCAAATGTTGTTCGGAACGTAAATTCACGTATTTCAGGTTGTTTCGAGTCAAAATTAATTTTTTGAAAATTTTCAGATTTTTGAAAATTTTTTTTGAAAATTTTCAGATTTTTGAACTTTTTTACAGGTCCGGGGTCATGAGTTTTTTCAAAAAATGACCTGGTTCGATTTTTTCAAAATATGCGCTAGAAATTCATCGAAAGCACTTCAAATGTTGTTCGGAACATCAATTCACGTATTTCAGGTTGTTTCGAGTCAAAAAAAATTTTTTGAAAATTTTCAGATTTTTGAACTTTTTTACAGGTCCGGGGTCATGAGTTTTTTCAAAAAATGACCTTGTTCGATTTTTTCAAAATATGAGCTTGAAATTCATCAGATAACACATTCTCAAAACAAAACTTTCAAGTAAATAAAGAAAGGTATGTTTATCACATTGATTATATTTAACTAAATAATTTGTTTCAAAACGTTCAAATTTCTGGGTCATGAGTTTTTTCAAAAAATTACTTGTTCGATTTTTCCAAAATATAAGCTAGAAATTCATCGAAAACACTTCGAATGTTGTTCGGAACATCAATTCACGTATTTCAGGTTGTTTCGAGTCAAAAAAAATTTTTGAAAATTTTCAGATTTTTGAACTTTTTTACAGGTCCGGGGTCATGAGTTTTTTCAAAAATGACCTTGTTCGATTTTTTCAAAATATGAGCTTGAAATTCATCATCCATCTCATTTTTTTCAGATAACACATTGAAGCTCAAAACAAAACTTTCAAGTAAATAAAGAAAGGTATGTTTATCACATTGATTATATTTAACTAAATAATTTGTTTCAAAACTTTCAAATTTCTGAAATTCTCTACAGGTCATGTCAGTTTTTTCAAAAAATTACTTGTTCGATTTTTCCAAAATATAAGCTAGAAATTTATCGAAAACACTTCGAATGTTGTTTGGAACGTAAATTCACGTATTTCAAGTTGTTTCGAGTCAAAAAAATTTTTTTCAAAATTTTCAGATTTTTGAACTTTTTTACAGGTCCGGGGTCATGAGTTTTTTCAAAAAATGACTTGTTCGATTTTTCCAAAATATAAGCTAGAAATTCATCGAAAGCACTTCAATGTTGTTCGGAACATCAATTCACGTATTTCAGGTTGTTCGAGTCAAAAAAAAATTTTTTCAAAATTTTCAGATTTTTGAACTTTTTTACAGGTCCGGGGTCATGAGTTTTTTCAAAAAATGACCTTGTTCGATTTTTCCAAAATATAAGCTAGAAATTCATCGAAAGCACTTCAAATGTTGTTCGGAACGTAAATTCACGTATTTCAGGTTGTTTCGAGTCAAAAAAAATTTTTTGAAATTTTCAGATTTTTGAACTTTTTTACAGGTCCGGGGTCATGAGTTTTTTCAAAAAATGACCTGGTTCGATTTTTTCAAAATATGAGCTAGAAATTCATCGAAAACACTTCAAATGTTGTTCGGAACGTAAATTCACGTATTTCAGTTGTTTCGAGTCAAAAAATTTTTTTGAAAATTTTCAGATTTTTGAACTTTTTTACAGGTCCGGGGTCATGAGTTTTTTCAAAAAATGACCTGGTTCGATTTTTTCAAAATATGCGCTAGAAATTCATCGAAAGCACTTCAAATGTTGTTCGGAACATCAATTCACGTATTTCAGGTTGTTTCGAGTCAAAAAAATTTTTTTCAAAATTTTCAGATTTTTGAACTTTTTTACAGGTCCGGGGTCATGAGTTTTTTCAAAAAATGACCTGGTTCGATTTTTCCAAAATATGGCTAGAAATTCATCGAAAGCACTTCAAATGTTGTTCGGAACATCAATTCACGTATTTCAGGTTGTTTCGAGTCAAAATTTTTTTTGAAAATTTTCAGATTTTTGAACTTTTTTACAGGTCCGGGGTCATGAGTTTTTTCAAAAAATGACTTGTTCGATTTTTCCAAAATATAAGCTAGAAATTCATCGAAAACACTTCGAATGTTGTTTGGAACGTAAATTCACGAATTTCAAGTTGTTTCGAGTCAAAAAAATTTTTTTCAAAATTTTCAGATTTTTGAACTTTTTTACAGGTCCGGGGTCATGAGTTTTTTCAAAAAATGACCTTGTTCGATTTTTTCAAAATATGAGCTTGAAATTCATCATCCATCTCATTTTTTTCAGATAACACATTGAAGCTCAAAACAAAACTTTCAAGTAAATAAAGAAAGGTATGTTTATCACATTGATTATATTTAACTAAATAATTTGTTTCAAAACTTTCAAATTTCTGAAATTCTCTACAGGTTCCATGTCATGAGTTTTTTCAAAAAATTACTTGTTCGATTTTTCCAAAATATAAGCTAGAAATTCATCGAAAAGCACTTCAAATGTTGTTCGGAACGTAAATTCACGTATTTCAGGTTGTTTCGAGTCAAAAAAAATTTTTCAAAATTTTCAGATTTTTGAACTTTTTTACAGGTCCGGGGTCATGAGTTTTTTCAAAAAATGACTTGTTCGATTTTTCCAAAATATAAGCTAGAAATTTATCGAAAACACTTCGAATGTTGTTTGGAACGTAAATTCACGTATTTCAAGTTGTTTCGAGTCAAAAAATTTTTTTCAAAATTTTCAGATTTTTGAACTTTTTTACAGGTCCGGGGTCATGAGTTTTTTCAAAAAATGACCTGGTTCGATTTTTTCAAAATATGCGCTAGAAATTCATCGAAAGCACTTCAAATGTTGTTCGGAACATCAACTCATGTATTTCATGTTGTTTCCAGTCAAAAAAAGTTTTTTGAAAATTTTCAGATTTTTGAACTTTTTTACAGGTCCGGGGTCATGAGTTTTTTCAAAAAATGACTTGTTCGATTTTTCCAAAATATGAGCTAGAAATTCATCGAAAGCACTTGAAATGTTGTTCGGAACGTAAATTCACGTATTTCAGGTTGTTTCAAGTCAAAATTAATTTTTTGAAAATTTTCAGATTTTTGAACTTTTTTACAGGTCCGGGGTCATGAGTTTTTTCAAAAAATGACTTGTTCGATTTTTCCAAAATATAAGCTAGAAATTCATTGAAAACACTTCGAATGTTGTTCGGAACATCAATTCACGTATTTCAGGTTGTTTCGCGTCAAAATTTTTTTTTCAAAATTTTCAGATTTTTGAACTTTTTTACAGGTCCGGGGTCATGAGTTTTTTCAAAAAAATGACCTTGTTCGATTTTTCCAAAATATAAGCTAGAAATTTATCGAAAGCACTTCAAATGTTGTTCGGAACGTAAATTCACGTATTTCAGGTTGTTTCGAGTCAAAAAAATTTTTTTTAAAATTTTCAGATTTTTGAACTTTTTTACAGGTCCGGGGTTATGAGTTTTTTCAAAAAATGACTTGTTCGATTTTTCCAAAATATAGGCTAAAAATTCATCGAAAGCACTTCAAATGTTGTTCGGAACATCAATTCACATATTTCAGGTTGTTTCGAGTCAAAAAAAAATTTTTGAAAATTTTCAGATTTTTGAACTTTTTTACAGGTCCGGGGTCATGAGTTTTTTCAAAAAATGACCTGGTTCGATTTTTTCAAAATATGAGCTAGAAATTCATCGAAAACACTTCAAATGTTGTTCGGAACGTAAATTCACGTCTTTCAGGTTGTTTCGAGTCAAAAGGAATTTTTTGAAAATTTTCAGATTTTTGAACTTTTTCACAGGTCTGGGATCATGAGTTTTTTCAAAAAATGACCTTGTTCGATTTTTTCAAAATATGAGCTAGAAATTCATCGAAAACACTTAGAATGTTGTTCGCAACGTAAATTCATGTATTTCAGGTTGTTTCGAATCAAAAGGAATTTTTTGAAAATTTTCAGATTTTTGAACTTTTCTACAGGTCCGGGGTCATGAGTTTTTTTAAAAAATGACCTTGTTCGATTTTTCCAAAATATAAGCTAGAAATTCATCGAAAACACTTCCAATGTTGTTCGAAATATCAATTCACGTATTTCAGGTTGTGTCGAGTCAAAAAATTTTTTTTCACAATTTTCAGATTTTTGATCTTTTTTGCAGGTCTGGGGTCATAAGTTTTTTCAAAAAATGACCTGGTTCGATTTTTTCAAAATATAAGCTAGAAATTCATCGAAAGCACTTCAAATGTTGTTCGGAACATCAATTCACGTATTTCAGGTTGTTGCGCATCAAAAAATTTTTTTCACAATTTTCAGATTTTTGAACTTTTTTACAGGTCCGGGGTCATGAGTTTTTTTAAAAATGGCCTTGTTCGATTTTTCCAAAATATAAGCTAGAAATTCATCGAAAACACTTCAAATGTTGTTCGGAACATCAATTCACGTATTTCAGGTTGTTTCGAGTCAAAAAAATTTTTTTCACGATTTTCAGATTTTTGATCTCTTTTACAGGTCCGGGGTCATGAGTTTTTTCAAAAAATGACCTGGTTCTATTTTTTCAAAATATCAGCTAGAAATTCATCAAAAACACTTGGAATGCTGTTCGGAATGTAAATTCACGTATTTCAGGTTGTTTCGAGTCAAAAAAACATTTTTCAAAATCTTCGGATTTTTGAACTTTTTTACAAGTCCAGGGTCATGAGTTTTTTCAATAAATGACCTGGTTCGATTTTTTCAAAATATGAGCTAGAAATTTATCGAAAACACTTTGAATGTTGTTCGGAACGTCAATTCACTTATTTCAGGTTGTTTCGAGGCAAAAAAAATTTTTTCCAAATTTTCAGATTTTTGAACTTTTTTACAGGTCCGGGGTCATGAATTTTTTCAAAAAATGACCTGGTTCGATTTTTTCAAAATATGAGCTAGAAATTCATCGAAAACACTTCAAATGTTGTTCGGAACGTAAATTCACGTCTTTCAGGTTGTTTCGAGTCAAAAGGAATTTTTTGAAAATTTTCAGGTTTTTGAACTTTTTTACAGGTCCGGGGTCATGAGTTTTTTTAAAAAATGACCTTGTTCGATTTTTCCAAAATATAAGCTAGAAATTCATCGAAAACACTTCAAATGTTGTTCGAAATATCAATCCACGTATTTCAGGTTGTGTCGAGTCAAACAATTTTTTTTCACAATTTTCAGATTTTTGATCTTTTTTGCAGGTCCGGGGTCATAAGTTTTTTCAAAAAATGACCTGGTTCGATTTTTTCAAAATATAAGCTAGAAATTCATCGAAAGCACTTCAAATGTTGTTCGGAACATCAATTCACGTATTTCAGGTTGTTGCGCATCAAAAAATTTTTTTCACAATTTTCAGATTTTTGAACTTTTTTACAGGTCCGGGGTCATGAGTTTTTTTAAAAATGGCCTTGTTCGATTTTTCCAAAATATAAGCTAGAAATTCATCGAAAACACTTCAAATGTTGTTCGGAACATCAATTCACGTATTTCAGGTTGTTTCGAGTCAAAAAAATTTTTTTCACGATTTTCAGATTTTTGATCTCTTTTACAGGTCCGGGGTCATGAGTTTTTTCAAAAAATGACCTGGTTCTATTTTTTCAAAATATCAGCTAGAAATTCATCAAAAACACTTGGAATGCTGTTCGGAATGTAAATTCACGTATTTCAGGTTGTTTCGAGTCAAAAAAACATTTTTCAAAATCTTCGGATTTTTGAACTTTTTTACAAGTCCAGGGTCATGAGTTTTTTCAATAAATGACCTGGTTCGATTTTTTCAAAATATGAGCTAGAAATTTATCGAAAACACTTTGAATGTTGTTCGGAACGTCAATTCACTTATTTCAGGTTGTTTCGAGGCGAAAAAAATTTTTTCCAAATTTTCAGATTTTTGAACTTTTTTACAGGTCCGGGGTCATGGGTTTTTTCAAAAAATGACCTTGTTCGATTTTTTCAAAATATGAGCTAGAAATTCATCGAAAACCCTTCGAATGTTGTTCGGAACGTAAATCCACGTATTTCAAGTTGTTTCGAGTCATAAAAAATTTTTTGAAAATTTTCAGATTTTTGAACTTTTTTACAGGTCCGGGGTCATGAATTTTTTCAAAAAATGACCTGGTTCGATTTTTTCAAAATATGAGCTAGAAATTCATCGAAAACACTTCAAATGTTGTTCGGAACGTAAATTCACGTCTTTCAGGTTGTTTCGAGTCAAAAGGAATTTTTTGAAAATTTTCAGGTTTTTGAACTTTTTCACAGGTCTGGGATCATGAGTTTTTTCAAAAAATGACCTTGTTCGATTTTTTCAAAATATGAGCTAGAAATTCATCGAAAACACTTAGAATGTTGTTCGCAACGTAAATTCATGTATTTCAGGTTGTTTCGAATCAAAAGGAATTTTTTGAAAATTTTCAGATTTTTGAACTTTTCTACAGGTCCGGGGTCATGAGTTTTTTTAAAAAATGACCTTGTTCGATTTTTCTAAAATATAAGCAAGAAATTCATCGAAAACACTTTGAATGTTGTTCGGAACGTCAATTCACTTATTTCAGGTTGTTTCGAGGCAAAAAAAATTTTTTCCAAATTTTCAGATTTTTGAACTTTTTTACAGGTCCGGGGTCATGAGTTTTTTCAAAAAATGACCTTGTTCGATTTTTTCAAAATATGAGCTAGAAATTCATCGAAAACACTTAGAATGTTGTTCGGAACGTAAATGCACGTATTTCAAGTTGTTTCGAGTCAAAAGGAATTTTTTGAAAATTTTCAGATTTTTGAACTTTTCTACAGGTCCGGGGTCATGAGTTTTTTCAAAAAATGACCTTGTTCCATTTTTTCAAAATATGAGCTAGAAATTCATCGAAAACACTTCGAATGTTGTTCGGAACGTAAATGCACGTATTTCAAGTTGTTTCGAGTCATAAAAAATTTTTTGAAAATTTTCAGATTTTTGAACTTTTTTACAGGTCCGGGGTCATGAATTTTTTCAAAAAATGACCTGGTTCGATTTTTTCAAAATATGAGCTAGAAATTCATCGAAAACACTTCAAATGTTGTTCGGAACGTAAATTCACGTCTTTCAGGTTGTTTCGAGTCAAAAGGAATTTTTTGAAAATTTTCAGATTTTTGAACTTTTTCACAGGTCTGGGATCATGAGTTTTTTCAAAAAATGACCTTGTTCGATTTTTTCAAAATATGAGCTAGAAATTCATCGAAAACACTTAGAATGTTGTTCGCAACGTAAATTCATGTATTTCAGGTTGTTTCGAATCAAAAGGAATTTTTTGAAAATTTTCAGATTTTTGAACTTTTCTACAGGTCCGGGGTCATGAGTTTTTTCAAAAAATGACTTGTTCGATTTTTCCAAAATATAAGCAAGAAATTCATCGAAAGCACTTCAAATGTTGTTCGGAACATCAATTCAGGTATTTCAGGTTGTTTCGAGTCAAAAAAATTTTTTGAAAATTTTCAGATTTTTGAACTTTTTTACAGGTCCAGGGTCATGAGTTTTTTTAAAAAATGACCTTGTTCGATTTTTCTAAAATATAAGCAAGAAATTCATCGAAAACACTTTGAATGTTGTTCGGAACGTCAATTCACTTATTTCAGGTTGTTTCGAGGCAAAAAAAATTTTATCCAAATTTTTAGATTTTTGAACTTTTTTACAGGTCCGGGGTCATGAGTTTTTTCAAAAAATGACCTTGTTCGATTTTTTCAAAATATGAGCTAGAAATTCATCGAAAACACTTCGAATTTCGTTCGGAACGTAAATGCACGTATTTCAAGTTGTTTCGAGTCATAAAAAATTTTTTGAAAATTTTCAGATTTTTGAACTTTTTTACAGGTCCGGGGTCATCAATTTTTTCAAAAAATGACCTGGTTTAATTTTTTCAAAATATGAGCTAGAAATTCATCGAAAACACTTCAAATGTTGTTCGGAACGTAAATTCACGTATTTCAGGTTGTTTCGAGTCAAAAGGAATTTTTTGAAAATTTTCAGATTTTTGAACTTTTTTACAGGTCCGGGATCATGAGTTTTTTCAAAAAATGACCTTGTTCGATTTTTTCAAAATATGAGCTAGAAATTCATCGAAAACACTTAGAATGTTGTTCGCAACGTAAATTCATGTATTTCAGGTTGTTTCGAGTCAAAAGGAATTTTTTGAAAATTTTCAGATTTTTGAACTTTTCTACAGGTCCGGGGTCATGAGTTTTTTCAAAAAATGACCTGGTTCGATTTTTTCAAAATATGAGCTAGAAATTCATCGAAAACACTTCGAATGTTGTTCGGAACGTAAATTCACGTATTTCAGCTTGTTTCGAATTAAACATATCTTTCTTAAATTTTTTAGATTTTTGAACTTTTTTACAGGTCTGGGGTCATGAGTTTTTTCAAAAATGACTTGTTCGATTTTTCCAAAATATGAGCTAGAAATTCATCGGCAACACTTCAAATATTGTGCGGAACCTAATTTCACGTATATCAGGTTGTTTCGAGTTAAAAAAAGTTTTTGAAAATTTTCAGATTTTTGAACTTTTTTACAGGTCCGGGGTCATGAATTTTTTCAAAAAATGACCTTGTTCGATTTTTTCAAAATATGAGCTAGAAATTCATCGAAAACACTTAGAATGTTGTTCGCAACGTAAATTCATGTATTTCAGGTTGTTTTGAGTCAAAAGGAATTTTTTGAAAATTTTCAGATTTTTGAACTTTTCTACAGGTCCGGGGTCATGAGTTTTTTCAAAAAATGACCTTGTTCGATTTTTTCAAACTATGAGCTAGAAATTCATCGAAAACACTTCAAATGTTGTTCAAAACGTAAATTCACGTCTTTCAGGTTGTTTCGAGTCAAAAGGAATTTTTTGAAAATTTTCAGATTTTTGAACTTTTCTACAGGTCCGGGGTCATGAGTTTTTTCAAAAAATGACTTGTTCGATTTTTCCAAAATATAAGCAAGAAATTCATCGAAAGCACTTCAAATGTTGTTCGGAACATCAATTCAGGTATTTCAGGTTGTTTCGAGTCAAAAAAAATTTTTTGAAAATTTTCAGATTTTTGAACTTTTTTACAGGTCCAGGGTCATGAGTTTTTTTAAAAAATGACCTTGTTCGATTTTTCTAAAATATAAGCAAGAAATTCATCGAAAACACTTCGAATATTGTTCGGAACGTAAATTCATGTATTTCAGGTTGTTTCGAGTCAAAAAAAAATTTTTCAAAATTTTCAGATTTTTGAAATTTTTTACAGGTCCAGGGTCATGAGTTTTTTCAGAAAATGACCTGGTTCGATTTTTCCAAAATATGAGCTAGAAATTCATCGAAAGCACTTCAAATGTTGTTCGGAACATCAATTCAGGTATTTCAGGTTGTTTCGAGTCAAAAAAAATTTTTTGAAAATTTTCAGATTTTTGAACTTTTTTACAGGTCCAGGGTCATGAGTTTTTTTAAAAAATGACCTTGTTCGATTTTTCTAAAATATAAGCAAGAAATTCATCGAAAACACTTCGAATATTGTTCGGAACGTAAATTCATGTATTTCAGGTTGTTTCGAGTCAAAAAAAAATTTTTCAAAATTTTCAGATTTTTGAAGTTTTTACAGGTCCAGGGTCATGAGTTTTTTCAATAAATGACCTGGTTCGATTTTTCCAAAATATGAGCTAGAAATTCATCGGCAACACTTCAAATATTGTACGGAACCTAATTTCACGTATATCAGGTTGTTTCGAGTTAAAAAAAGTTTTTCAAAATTTTCAGATTTTTGAAATTTTTTACAGGTCCAGGGTCATGAGTTTTTTCAATAAATGACCTGGTTCGATTTTTTCAAAATATGAGCTAGAAATTCATCGAAAACACTTTGAATGTTGTTCGGAACGTCAATTCACTTATTTCAGGTTGTTTCGAGGCAAAAAAAATTTTTTGAAAATTTTCAGATTTTTGAACTTTTTTACAGGTCCGGGATCATGAATTTTTTCAAAAAATGACTTGTTCGATTTTTTCAAAATTTGAGCTAGAAATTCATCGAAAACACTTCGAATGTTGTTCGGAACGTAAATTCACGTATTTCAGGTTGTTTCGAGGCATAAAAATTTTTTTCAAAATTTTCAGATTTTTGAACTTTTTTACAGGTCCGGGGTCATGAGTTTTTTCAAAAATGACTTGTTCGATTTTTCCAAAATATGAGCTAGAAAATCATCAAAAACACTTGGAATGTTGTTCGGAATGTAAATTCACGTATTTCAGGTTGTTCGAGTCAAAAAAATATTTTTTAAAATCTTCGGATTTTTGAACTTTTTTACAGGTCCGGGGTCATGAGTTTTTTCAAAAAATGACCTTGTTCGATTTTTCCAAAATATGAGCTAGAAATTCATCAAAAACACTTGGAATGTTGTTCGGAATGTAAATTCACGTATTTCAGGTTCTTCGAGTCAAAAAAATATTTTTTAAAATCTTCGGATTTTTGAACTTTTTTACAGGTCCAGGGTCATGAGTTTTTTCAATAAATGACCTGGTTCGATTTTTTCAAAATATGAGCTAGAAATTCATCGAAAACACTTTGAATGTTGTTCGCAACGTCAATTCACTTATTTCAGGTTGTTTCGAGGCAAAAAAAATTTTTTGAAAATTTTCAGATTTTTGAACTTTTTTACAGGTCCGGGGTCATGAATTTTTTCAAAAAATGACTTGTTCGATTTTTTCAAAATATGAGCTAGAAATTCATCGAAAACACTTGGAATGTTGTTCGGAACGTAAATTCACGTATTTCAGGTTGTTTCGAGGCATAAAAATTTTTTTCAAAATTTTCAGATTTTTGAACTTTTTTACAGGTCCGGGGTCATGAGTTTTTTCAAAAATGACTTGTTCGATTTTTCCAAAATATGAGCTAGAAATTCGTTGAAAACACTTGAAATGTTGTTCGGAACGTAAATTTAGGTATTTCAGCTTGTTTTGAGTTAAACATAATTTTTTAAATTTTTGAGATATTTCAACTTTTTTACACGTCCGGGATCATGAGTTTTTTCAAAAATGACCTTGTTCGATTTCTCCAAATTATGAGCTAGAAATTGATCGAAAACATTTCAAATGTTTACGGAACCTAATTTCACGTGTATCAGGTTGTTTGAAGTAAAAAAAAGGCACAATTTTCAGATTTTTGAGCTTTTTTACAGGTTCGGGGTCATGAGTTTTTTCAGAAAATGACCTTGTTCGATTTTTCCAAAATATGAGCTAGAAATTCATCGAAAACACTTCGAATGTTGTTCGGAACGTAAATTCACATATTTCAGCTTGTTTCGAGTCAAAAAAGTTTTTCAGAATTTTCAGATTTTTGAACTTTTTTACAGGTCCGAGGTCATGAATTTTTTCAAAAAATGACCTTGCTCGATTTTTCCAAAATATGAGCTAGAAATTCGTTGAAAACACTTCAAATGTTGTTCGGAACGTAAATTCACGTATTTCAGCTTGTTTCGAGTTAAACATATCTTTCTTAAATTTTTGAGATTTTTGAACTTTTTTACAGGTCTGGGGTCATGAGTTTTTTCAAAAATGACCTTGTTCGATTTTTCCAAAATATGAGCTAGAAATTCATCGGTAAAACTTCAAATATTGTACGGAACCTAATTTCACTTATATCAGGTTGTTTCGAGTTAAAAAAAGTTTTTCAAAATTTTCAGATTTTTGAATTTTTTTACAGGTCCGGGGTCATGATTTTTTCAGAAAATGAACTTCTTCGATTTTTCCAAAATATGAGCTAGAAATTCGTTGAAAACACTTCAAATGTTGTTCGGAACCATAGATAATAGAAAGGAGAACTGGATTGGCAGCGCGGCAACTTCAAAGGACTATGTTGAAAACGAGGATATTTTGTGTGGCGTGCAGAAGGTTTATTTCCGGTTGCAAAGGAGAGTCCACGATAACAAGGATCAATATGAAAACTTTAGAAAAATTGGCATAATTTGGAGTTGAAATGGTTGGAGCAAGTTGTTGTGTATCCAACTGCAGATGATATCGTTGTAAACTTAAATATCCTCACTTGAGTGTTTTCAATATTAATTGCGTAGGCAACTCAGAATGGACTGCAAAGCTTGTTCACTGTGTCGATAGGTGTGACAAGGGTTTTAAGGTTAAGAGTGCAAAGATATGTGCTGTGCACTTCAAAGAGGAATGTATCTTTATAGGTATGTGAATGCATTTTATTCAAGTATTTATGTCCATTTGATAGTGCAAAAAACGAGTCAAATGCAGACTTTACCGGTCAACGGGCTTCCTTCTTCGCACGTATCTTTAGCGGACCCTCATTTTGCCTATCGACCAAGATACTCTTGGAATACATTTTATCCATTTTCTGTTTTTGACATAGGAATCTTTACCTCCTCACGTATCAATTATTTTCATTTAGGAAAAAACAAAATCACATGTCCGCGTAAATAAAAACATATATTAAGATGCCTACAACCTGTATCTTGAGAAAACTCCAAAACTCAATGTCCTACAGCCTGTAGGATATCTTGAGAAAATTCCAAAACTCAATTTCCAAAATGTTCTCTTATAAAATCCCTCCACATCCTTCTCACCAAATATGATATGTTTATTTTAAGATTTGAAAATTTACCAAACCTAAAGGATACCAAACCTACTGACCTTTTTCTGTTCTAGATAAGAATGGGATCCCAGAGTTGAAGGAGAACAGTTTGCCAACTGAACTTCTTCCTCAAAAAAGCATTGTAACACCTAAACCAGCACCCAGAAGCGAGTTACAGTATTTAAAGCCACAAGAGCCAGTAAAAGCGATCAAGTACGCTTGTTTAGACGATATTAAAAAGGATATTCGCTTTATCAAAGACCCATGGCAAATTATTAGGAAATGTGATGAATACTTGTATGTTGTAAAATTATCAGAAAATGCTGACATTGAAATAAAAGTAAAAATTGACAGTTCCATTGGTTATGAAATTGAGTGTCAAGGGGTTAAGCTTCCAGTGGATCATTCTATGTACAAAAAGAATTTAAGAAATTTGCAAAGGTGCAGACTACAATGGCTTTTGAATGACATAGATAGTTTTCAAGGATGTCCCGGAGTAGTGAAACCCGAGCTACAAAAGTTTGGACAACTTCCGGCTACAAGGTCTATTGTCCCTTTCTATTTACATTCGAGATCTAAGCCACTGTATTCAGACAAATGTGGTGCAGCTGAAACAGTTGATGAACTGTCTGATGATGAAAGATACCCTTGTCATGTAGTTACAAATGTTCGGTCTTCAGCCTGCAACTTGCTGGTGCACAATGAAGGACCATGTTTAAACTGTACAGGAATTGAAAAAAGCTTTCACCAAAGAATGAGAAAAGAACAGGAGACCATCAAAAAGCCAATTTCAATGAAAGCACCTTTGCACAAAGTGGCAAAATCAAAGCTTGTTAAGGCAATAAAGATTGCTAGAGAAAAAGAAAAATCTCTTAATCAAGAAATTTTGTCTTTGAAAGAACAAATTCACCAGGATGGAGTATTTCTAGAGAAAGAAGTGCATGAAGATTTTAGAGGAATAATTGAAGGTAAAGTAGATGAAATGGAGGAAGGGTCATTTGGGAAATTGTTTTGGAAGCAACAAGTTGAATCTTTTAGTTGTAATCCAAGTTCTTTCAGATGGCACCCCATGATGATTCGCTTTGCCCTTCATTTGCACTTGAGATCTCCATCTGCATACAATGCTTTGAGGGAAAGCAAAGTTGTAAGGCTTCCTTGCGAGAGAACTCTCAGGGACTATTCCAATGTAATCCATCCTGAAGCTGGATTTAGTAATGAAGTCCTAGATGACTTGAAAAAAGATGTTGCAAAGCTACAACATGACATGCAGCATTATGTTGCTCTCCTTTTTGATGAAGTATCCATCAAAGATGACCTTGTGTATGATAGCACAACTGGTGAACTGATAGGATTCATCAATTTAGGTGACAACATGGATGAATTCATTGATAGTTTTAGGAAGGGAGAGCTTTCATCCTGTGTTGCTACACATGCACTTGTTTTTATGATTGTTGGTCTTGCCTCAGATCTGAAGCAGACAATTGGATATTTTGGCACAAGGGGAGCAACAGCTGATATCCTTTATCCATTGATTTGGAAAGCAATAGGATATCTTGAAGTTTATGTTGGTTTGAAAGTTATTTTGATGGTTTCAGATAAAGCAAGTCCAAACCAAAGATTTTACAGAATCCACAAAAATGACAAGGATCGTGCTGTTTACTGAGCTATTAATATTTTTGCTCCTGGGGAGCATCGGTATGTTTTCTTTTTTTCAGATGCACCCCATCTCCTGAAAACTATCAGAAACAACCTTGCAAACTCTGGTTCAGGTTTGAAGACAAGATACCTCTGGAACAATGGAAAGCATTTACTTTGGAGCCACATTGTCAAATGCTACTTGCAAGACAGCCATGGGAAGCTAAGAAAATTGCCAAAAATAACAAGAGATCACATTTACTTGAACAGCTATTCCAAAATGAGAGTCAATTTAGCAGCCCAAGTCCTGAGCGAAACAATGTCAAATGTTATAAAAGTGTACTGTGATGATGAGGCCTCAGAAACAGCAAATTTTATAGGGCTTGTGGACAAGTTCTTTGACTGTTTCAATACACGTTCTTTAAAAGAAGCTCAGTATAAGAGAAAGCCATTCTTGGCCCAATTTACAAATCTTAATGATCCAAGATTTGAATTTCTGCAGTCCACATTCCTGGGCTATCTAAAAGATTGGAAAGATGCAACTGAGAAGAGAAATGGAAATTTCTCAAAATCAGAGAGAGCTAAGATGTTTTTATCACTTCAGACCTATGAAGGTATACAGAGTTCAGTTTATGCATTGATAGAAACCACAAGATACTTGTTAAGCTATGGCTTTAGCTATGTCCTGTCAAGCAAATTCAGTCAAGACCCTTTGGAGGAGCACTTTGGTCGACATAGGGCTCTTGCAAGACGCTCCACAAACCCAACATTGTATTCATTAGGATATCAGGAAAACAAGCTTCGCATGCAGAGATCCATTGCCATGCTAATCACACCAAAAGGAAATGTTAGGACTAAGAAACGAAAACAAGGAATTACAGTTACAAGCAGCCCTTTGAAAAAGAGAGTGAGGTACCCAAAAGCAAAGAAACTGGACATTAAAGAAACAAGTCAATAATCAAAACCAATTTGAGAAAACAACAATTTTAATGTGAGCATAATTTTTGTATCATAATTTTCTATTAGAGACCCACTAATATTGCTTAAAATGTATCTTTTTAATATGTTTCTTATAGTTACCTTAATTTGCATTGCACCTTTTTTGCCAAATTTCACATTTGCAAGATTAAATTCTGAAACCTGACACAGGATATACTCAGTCAGAAGTTTTAAATTGGTGCACCTGTTTGACCCATGATGCAATGACTATTTGAATAGATCACAGAGTTCAAGAAAAAAATTAAATTCCGTTCTTGTTCAGTTAAGAAAATATTTGTTTGGTAGATTCTTACCATATGCTAATTTCTTAGAAACTTTTTAAAAAACTATGACTAACTCACTGTAATCACATTTTAAAAATTTTAGTCTCTATCATTGTCTTTTTTAGTCTTTAGCTCTGTTCGTATCCCCTTCTGTTTTGAAGATTTATCAGCCGCTCTTCTGTATTTATCAATTGTGTTGTTTGCATAGCTGTGACACCGTATCTTTATGTATAATGAAAGCACAGCTTTATGAACAAATAATGCATCTTCGAAGCTGCATTGTTGGGAAATCAAATTCAAAAATTTCCTTTCAATTTCACTGTTTTGAAGACAGTCTTCTAAGATGTAAGTAGCGTTTATTGTTTTTTCAATTTTCGACACATATGTTTGAAAGATGTTCTCTGCAACAAGTAAAATTGCACAGAATCCACTTTTTGCTTGTGTCAATCCACCTCTGTTCAGGGCACTGATGAGTTTTTCATTTGATTTTTCCTCGCCATCTTCTGCTTTAAAGGAATCTATGATAAGTAAATCCTTATCAATTGAGCTCACTTTCTCAGGGGTACTGGTTTTCAAAAGCTTAAAGAATCTCTTTTCTAACTTGGATAATATTGCTCCTCCTACATATGCAATTACATCTTTCTCGTCATCTGAAATCTTGATTTGCAGCACAGATTCTTCATCAAGAGCAATTCCAAGCTGTTTGTGAAGACTGGTCTGTATGTACAATAAAAACCATGACTCGAATCCAAGAGGACCTTCAAGACTTGACTGAAGGGATTTAATAAGTTCCTGGTCAGAGCCAATACTATGGAATTCTCTCCACATGGTTTCTCTTGCCACTGCAACACTTCCCTTGCCAAATTTTTCAATAGTTTTTTGCAACTTTGGAATAAGGAAGTCAAGGTTTGGAAGAGATTGCTGAAGGAGTTTTATTTTTTGTTCATAAAGGTGATCTAGCATAGGATCTCTCTGCATCATAATTATTGCATCTCTAATAATTGAATTCAACATGTTTGAGTCGATGACCAGGTTAATTTTCTGTGATTTTTCTATTTTCTTTTTTTCATTCTCTTTTTTCCCTTTAGGCTTTTTAGTTCTTGAGCTAATACCTGGGTTGTCACCATCTGGTTGCTCTTGTGGCTGGATGAAAACAATCTCCCTCTCGTCACAGTATTGTAATAATACTTCCTAAAATTAAGAGCAACAATCACTTGACACAAGTCTAAAGGATAAGAAATGTCTGAATCCATGGTATAGTGGAGGGGTTATGCAGCATATCTCTGGACAGCAGTGCAATACTTACTGTTCAAAGGTAATAGTGGGGTTATGCTTCTTGGATATAAATACTGCTCTAAAATTTGTACAATTAACAAAGTTATTTTTTATACAACAAAGCTCCTATTATATAAAGAGATGCATGAAAAAGCATGTACAACTGGCGATTTCCAAGAGAAAACAAAGTAGAGTAAATCCCAGCCTAAGGAAACTCATATTTTCATATCAGGTTGTTTAGTTTCTTTCATGTAAGAAAATATTTTCAAATGAGGCTTGTTGAATTCTTATATGTTCATTTAGAAACTCCTTTTTACATAAAGCTTTCTTGTCAAAAATCATCTTCAAGGATAGCGCTCCACAGTAAACAAGGACACCAGAAAAATGAAGATGCATTGTTTAAGTATAAAATACTGTATATAGTTGAACTTAGATTTCGTCCCATTTTCCAGAAATTGGAAAAAAATCAGGCTGCCTAATTTCTTAAAAAGGAGCAGGCTGCAGTATATGTCATTTTTTTCTAAGTGGGGACTTACTTACTTATAAACAGTGTATTTGCTTTAACTTTCGCTGTATGCTTCCTAAAACTTTCATCACTGACCACAGGCGATAACATGAAAGAAGAACTTTTAGCGCAAAGGGAACTATTTATTGCATTCAATTTCATCATATTTGTTAAAGAGTACGCCGAAAAACATTATTTTCAAGCTTAAGGCCTAAGTTAAGGAACTCTTCTGCTAGCATAGGAGTTGTCGAGGTCGTAGAGCGAATTTTTCTTACCTCTAGAATATCTTCATTGTCGAAATTAAAAATGTCATCGAAATCGTTAGCATCCGCCATCACTGAAACTGAACTCAAATTGAAAAACCGAAACAAAACTTCTCTTCGTTCACGGCTTCAACGTTGCACTCCTTCAAACCGGAAATGAACAATCTACTCTTGGCTCCCGAAACGATAAATCCTAACATTGAGTGAAGAGGACAAGGGACGCTATTGTTCCCAGTCCCTAGTTGCCAATCCAGTTCTCCTTTCTATTATCTATGTCGAAACGTAACTTCACGTATTTCAGCTTGTTTCGAGTTAAACATATCTTTCTTAAATTTTTGAGATTTTTGAACTTTTTTACAGGTCTGGGGTCATGAATTTTTTCAAAAATGACCTTGTTCGATTTTTCCAAAATATGAGCTAGAAATTCATCGGCAACACTTCAAATATTGTACGGAACCTAATTTCACGTATATCAGGTTGTTTCAAGTTAAAAAAAGTTTTTCAAAATTTTCATATTTTTGAACTTTTTTACAGGTCCAGGGTCATGAGTTTTTTCAAAAATGACCTTGTTCGATTTTTCCAAAATATGAGCTAGAAATTCATCGAAAACACTTCGAATGTTGTTCGGAACGTAAATTCACATATTTCAGCTTGTTTTGAGTCAAGGTTACGGTAAACGTTTGCTGGATGAAAACATCATTTTTTGATTTTTTCACATTCAAGTAGCCGAACTTACAAGGCACACAATGACACCAAATTTGAAACAAACAGAAATTTTGAAAGTGGAAAAAAACCCATATAATCGAAGGTTTCCATAATTTCTTTATCAAAACTTTTAGTTGAGGCCTGAAAATATCTTGACCTTTTAAGCCGATTATCGTTGCTTTGCGGTTGTAGTCGCATGTCTCATTTACCATATCGCATGGCACATCCATATACCCAATGTACGGCCGTGTTTATTTAAACAGGCTTATTGATCTTAAATCTTCAAGTGACTTGACCCGGATTACACTGTGGTTTACGAGTGTATCTTGCAAGTGCGATCAGTAAAATCCCGTTTTCTCCGGACTCGAAATTCCGCTACATACAGGTACGAAAAAGCTATTATGTACCCAAGGAACCAATCGAATGGCTCGAAAATTTGCACACGACCAGGGCAGACGTTGGGCAAACAAAGTGTGTCTCAAACTTTTTTTATTTTCTCTGGTCCGTCTTTTATACCCAAATACAGCTGCGGCAGGGTGGAACAATTATTTGCCAATTTTTGACAGGGTATAGTTTTAAGAAGAGGAGGAATTTAAAAAATCTGAGACACACTTTGGTAGCTTAGGACCTGCACTTCCTGCTGGTCTAAGTCAGATTTTGTTACCTCAAACGCAAGGGTACATAATAGCTTTTGAAGGTGGTACGCTTTTTGACCAGTAAATTCGCATGGAAAATAACATTTAACATTATTTGCCAATACTTTTTATCTGGCTAGATACGCCATAATCTTGTGCATCGAATGATATATAGTTTATCCAGATTCCTTGAGCCGTTTGGCCTTTAGGAAGAAAAAACCAATTTTCGTGTTCAAAACGTTTACTGTAACCTTAAACATAATTTTTATAAATTTTTGAGATATTTGAACTTTTTTACAGGTCCGGGATCATGAGTTTTTTCAAAAATGACCTTGTTCGATTTTTCCAAAATATGAGCTAGAAATTAATCGAAAACACTTCAAATGTTGTACGGAACCTAATTTCACGTGTATCAGGTTGTTTGAAGTAAAAAAAAAATGTCACAATTTTCAGATTTTTGAACTTTTCTAAAGGTCCGGGGTCATGAGTTTTTTCAGAAAATTACCTTGTTCGATTTTTCCAAAATATGAGCTAGAAATTCATCGAAAACACTTCGAATGTTGTTCGGAACGTAAATTCACATATTTCAGCTTGTTTCGAGTCAAAAAAGTTTTTCAGAATTTTCAGATTTTTGAACTTTTTTACAGGTCCGAAGTCATGAATTTTTTCAAAAAATTACCTTGCTCGATTTTTCCAAAATATGAGCTAGAAATTCGTTGAAAACACTTCAAATGTTTTTTGGAACCTATTTTTAAGTTTATCAGGATGTTTCAAGTCAAAAACATTTTTCCTCAATTTTCAGATTTTTGATCTTTCTTACAGGTCGAGGGTTATGAGTTTTTTCAAAAAATGACATTGTTCGATTTTTCCAAAATATAAGCTAGAAATTCATCAAAAACCCTTCAAATGTTGTTCGGAACGTAAATTTACGTATTTCAGGTTGTTTCAAGTAAAAAAAAATGTCAAAATTTTCAGATTTTTGAACTTTTTTACAGGTTCGGGGTCATGAATTTTTTAAAAAAATGCCCTTGTTTGAACATTCCAAAATACAAGCTCGAAATTCATCATCCGTCTCATTTTTTTCAGATAACACATTGAAGCTCAAAACAAAACTGTCAAGTAAATAAAGAAAGGTATGTATATCACATTGATTATATTTAACTAAATAATTTGTTTCAAAATTTTCAAATTTCTGAAATTCTCTGCAGGTTTCAGGTCATGAATTTTTTAAAAAAATGACCTCGTTTGAACATTCCAAAATACGAGCTCGAAATTCATCATCCGTCTCTTTTTTTCAGATAACACATTGAAGCTCAAAACAAAACTGTCAAGTAAATAAAGAAAGGTATGTATATCACATTGATTATATTTAACTAAATAATTTGTTTCAAAATTTTCAAATTTCTGAAATTCTCTGCAGGTTTCAGGTCATGAATTTTTTCAGAAAATGACCCTGTTTGATTGTTCCAAAATATGAGCTAGAAATTCATCATCCGTCTCTTTTTTTCAGATAACACATTGAAGCTCAAAACAAAACTTTCAAGTAAATAAAGAAAGGTATGTATATCACATTGATTATATTTAACTAAATAATTTTTTTCAAAATTTTCAAATTTCTGAAATTCTCTACAGGCCTCAGGTCATGAATTTTTTCAAAAAATGACCTGGTTTGATTTTTCAAAATATCAGCTAGAAATTCATTGAAAACACTTCGAATGTTGTTCGGAACATCAATTCACGTATTTCAGGTTGTTTCGTGTCAAAAAGAATTTTTTCACAATTTTCAGATTTTTGAACTTTTTTACAGGTCTGGGGTCATGAGTTTTTCAAAAAATGACCCTGTTTGATTGTTCTAAAATATGAGCTAGAAATTCATCGAAAACATTTCAAATGTTGTTCGGAACGTATTTCCATGTTTTCCAGGTTGTTTCGAGTCAAGAAAAAATTTGCGTTCGTCACTAGCCCCAGACCTCGTTTGCAACACCATATGTGCAAATAATCCCCTAAAACAGGTATTTCCTAGCACCAAAATGAAAATCTAACCGCACCAATGGACTCAACGATAATTTTTATGGCATAATGTTTATGATATGCAAAATTCATTCTTTTCACCAAATCGGTTCAGTGGGATTTTAACTATTTCAAGCTAAGTCACTCTTTTATAAATTTTAAAATTTAGAAAAATTTTTTACAGGTCTGGGATCATAGATTTTTCAGAAACGACTTTGTTCGATCTTTTCAAACTATGAGCTATAAATTCATCAAAAACACTTGAAGTAGTGTTTATAGCATATCATCTGGATTTTTAGATTGTTTTTGGTGGAAATTAATTTTTCTCAGAATTTTTAAATTTTGTAGTCTTTTTGAATGTGAAGGCTAAAAGCTTAGGTAACTTGAGCGATTTTTTTCAGACAACGCGTTGAAACTCAAAAGAATACCGTCAAGTAAATAAAGAAAGGTATTCATATCGCATTGATTATCTCTAACTAAGTAATTTTTTTCAAAATTTTAAAATTTCTGAAATTCTCTACAGGTTTCAGGTCATGGATTTTTTAATAAATGGCTTCGCTCGATTTTTCTTATGAAATTTGAAAATATGAGCTAGAAATTCATCGAGAACACTTCAAATATTTCACGTATTTCAGGTTGTTCTTTTAAAAAAAAACTTTCAAAATTTTTATTTTTTAGAAGTTTTTTTGAGACCTCTGAGGTCATAGATTTTTTCAAAAATAACTTGCTTCGTTTTTTCACAAATATCAACTAGAAATTGGTCGAAAGTCTTCCAATGGAGATTGGAACACAGTATTGAACGTTTCAGGTTGTTTCGAGTGAAGAAAACTTTTTGAAATTTTCAGATTTTTGATGGTTTTCACAAGTCGGGACTGATTTAGCTTTTCAAGAATGGTTTTGTTCGTTTTTCTTCAAAATATCAGCTGCGGATTCACCGAAAACACTTCAGTTGTGTTCGTTTCCTTACGAAGCATTTTTAAAGAAATTAATCAGATTTTTTTAAAAAAAAATTCTTAAACAATTTTCCAAGTATGAAAATTACCAAATTTTTTTTCCAAATATTCACCCGTTTTTTTCAAAACTGACGATGACTCTTGAACTAACTTTCTTGTTTATTTTGATCATATGTAAAATATCAACAAGACTATTTAGTAAAGAAATTTCAAAAAAGTTGAAACTTTACTAGGGTTATTGCCCTTTTTATAAAATATTGACCCGACTAAAAGTGTGACTTTTTTCAAAAATTTGACTTGATTTTTGTTTGAACTAAATTTGATTATTGTTTGTAATGATTATATACAGAAAATTAACCTCTTTTTAGTGGAAGAAAGTTCGAAAAAATTTTCTTAAATCACTAAACCCATGACTTTACTTTTTATCAAACAATATTGACCCGATTAAATGTACGACTTTTTCAAAATGTGGAATTTTAGACTAGAACTAAATTTGCTCCATTTTTCGTCTGACCATATATGAGAAAATAAGCCAGTTTTTTAAAATCAATTAAAAATATTAGATGAATTTATAAAGGCCATGGCCGTATTTTTGGCCGGAAATTCAAGTTGCTATAAATGTGCTGTTTTTTCGAAACTTTGAAGTTCATTCTTGTGTTAAATTGAGTTCTTGTTTGTTCTGATCATGTTTAAGAAAATTAACCTGTTTTTGGCAAAGAAATTTGACAAAAGTATGATGACTTTACTAAGCTTAAGGCCTTACTTCTTTATCAAATATTGACCCGCCTAAAACTGCGGTTTTTAAAAAATTGGACTTCTACATTTGAACTAAATTTGTTTCTTCTTTATTCTGATCATGCATGAGGAAATTAACCTTTTTCTAGTAGAAAAAAGTTGTAAAAAAAATTTAGCTGATATACTAAGCCTATAGCCCTGTTTGTTTCTCAAATATTGAACTGACTAAAAGTGGAATTTTTTAAAATCACTTTTGAACTAATTTTATTTTTATTCATATTCATAATATACAAGAAAAATTACCTCTTTTCAGTAGAAGAAGGTTCGAACAAATTGTCAAAATTTACTTAGCCTATGAACCTACTTTTTATTAGATATTGACCCGATTAAATAAAAGTATGATACTTACTAAGCTTATTGCCTTACTTTTTTAGAAAATATTGTTACGACTAATTTGGACTTTTGCATTTGAACTAAATTTGATTCTTGTTTATTTTGATTATACATAAGGAAATTAACCTCTTTCTAGTAGAAGAAAGTTGTAAAAAAATTTGGCTAATATACTAAGCCTATAACCCTACTTGTTTCTTAAATATTGAACTGACTAAGAGTGAAATTTTTTCAAAATCACTTTTGAACTAATTTTATCTTTATTCATTCTCATAATATACAAGAAAAATTGCCTCTTTTCAGTAGAAGAAGGTTCGAACAAATTTGCAAAATTTACTTAGCCTATGACCCTACTTTTTATCAAATATTGACCCGATTGAATAAAAGTATGATACTTACTAAGCTCGTGGCCTTACTTTTTTAGAAAATATTGTTACGACTTAAAACTGTGGTTTTTAAAAAATTGGACTTTTGCATTTGAACTAAATTTGATTCCTGTTTATTGAACTCTCACACTTGAGCTTAATTCATTCTTTTTTATTCTGTGAGATATGTGAGAAAACTGGCCAGTATTTTCGAAAACTTCTTTGAAAAATTTTGATGAATTTAATAAGCCTATGTATGGCCTTAATTCTTTGTCAAAGCAAATGACCCAAATAGAAATTTGTTATTTTCTTCAAATTTCTTGGCCTAAATTTTTCTTTGTTTATTCCGATCATATGTAAAAAAAATTTGTAGAAAACATAAATAAATTTCGAAAAAATTTAATGACTTTACTAAGCCTTTTGCTTCGAAGTTCATTCTTGAGGTAAACTTATTTCTTGTTTATTCAAATCATATGTAAGAGAATTAGCCAGATATTTTAGAAAGAAATTTCGTAAAAATTTGACGAATTTACTAAGGCTATGACTTAACTTTTTATCATAATTTGACCAAACTGAAATTGTTATTTTTCAAAAATTTGACTTTCACTCTTGATCTAAACTAAACCTTTTTATTATTTTGCATAATTCAGAGTCAAAATAGTATGTTTTAGAAGAAAAAGTTTCCAAAGAATTTAATGAAATTTAAAGTCTATTGATTTACATTTTTGTCAGGAAATCAATTTTCCTGAAAGTTAGAATTTTCAATTCCTACATTTGGAATTCAATCCTGTTTCAAGAAGTAAAAATTCCGGAAGAATCCTTTTTAGCCTTTTGCTTTACTTTTTTCTCAAAAATCGACCCGTTCGAAAAATTGATTTTTTTCAAAGGTGCCTCTTTTTCAAGAATTCTATCCAAATCCTGCTTATTCTGATCATTTAAAAGAAAGTTTACCTGCTTTAAGAGGAAAATAACTTCGAAAAATTTTGATAAAAACTCAGGAAAGTTGTGATTTTTTCATATATTTCCGTTTTATTAATAAGTTAATAAAATCCTTTTTTACTCCTTTCCTATCCTTTAAATCCTTCTTCCAAATAAACGTGTTTTGGAAGAAAAATGTTTTGGGAAAATGAAGAAAAATGAATACCCAAACAATTCAACAGATTTGTGGCATCCTACCTGCATTACATGCACTTACTGGAAATGAATTTACAAGCAAGGTGAGAATGAACCAATCCGCCATGGTGAGTAGTCTGGACATAGACACAGGTAGCACAGGGGGCATGCCTCCCTTCTCAAAAATTCTGGTAAAAAGTCCCTCATAGAGTTGCCCTTTTTTCCAACTGTATAGCCAAAAAGGTTTCCCTTAAATGGTTGGGTGCTTCTTAGATGGCTCTAAGAAGTGAGCAAAGAGAACAGTAAGTGACGTTTTCGAGTATTGACCTCAATTGTTTACGTGCTATGCTTTTGAAATATCAAAACGACGAGGGAGAGCAAATTGCTCTAGCGCCTAGGGGATAAAAATGTACTCAGCTTCATTAAATTATCGCTTCATTAATGTTGTTATCTAATTAATTTCCCTTTAATATTTATTTGTTCGGGAGATAAAAGCACTAAACTCGAGGAATCTTGGCCTAGCCCATACAGTAGAGTCAATAGGATGCGTACGAGCGACTATATTTTCTACTGCTGTGGAATTTGCGATTACGTCTAAGAAAAAAAAACGATTTTGAGACAACTGAGGCAAAATCAAAGATTTTCTGAAAAACACAAGCACTCTGTTTCTCAAACATTTTAGGTTCCAACAGAGAGTTTGAATTACAAAGATTTGACTGTAGAAAAGGTGAACGAATCTGGCGATAGAACGCAGCCCTGTCGTGCCCCTCTGTGTATATCTACCCATACACCAAACTCACCCTGATGGCAGCTTTTTTATCATAATACAAGTTCCTTATTAATATGAGATCTTTCCATCAATCTCGAACCTTTCTAGCAATTCCATCAGCTTCCCATGTTTCACACAGTCGAATGCTTTAAAATACCGATGTAAGATATATATGTCTTTGCTTTTCGACAGATTTTCCTATTATCATGCTCAGGCACAGAATTGCGTTTCTTGTTTCCTTTCTAGATTGTATGCAAATCTTTCCTCTGGCATACTTTCCCTCATTAGACCTGACCTGGTCTTTCAATGACACCTCTGGAGGGACCATTAGATCATTCTTTTGCAAAGTTTATAGTGAATTTAAAGTTTAATAAATATGGCAAAATTTTACACATATACAAATATACATGGCGTCTTACAACCTGTGGGCCACATCCAGTCTTCTTGACGTTTCTGTCCGACCCGTGTTTGTGAGGTCAATCAGAGCATGAAATTTTCTGTGAGTTTTTTTTCCACTTGCTCAAACCACAGTTTCATGCATTTAAATAGACATTTACCTGATAACTATATCTTAAAGTTGACAACTCACATATAGTATGATTTTTGCTTTTTATGTTTTCGGTAATGGTCTCAAATTGTAATATCACTGTGAACTAATGCATTTCAGGTTGTTTGCAAAAATTATTTATGGAAAATCTTGGCTGTAGGCTCAAAAATGTCATCGAGACCAGCTAAAAGTTTCTGACCATGTTTTCGTCACCTTCATGAATAGGGGTTGTGTGGATCCTTGTGACGTTTGCATTAACCTTGAAGAAACAACTACAAAAATACTCTGTATGACATATGTTTTGGTATAAGGAACATCTATAATTATTTCACTTTGTTGTTACCACAGAACACGCTCAACTACTGCCAGGATAATACTAACATGCCATCAAAACAATAAAACGACGAACTAAACATCAACATTTAAAACCAATCATAAATTAAGTAAAATAATTCGCGGATCTTCAACGGCAGATTTAATTTTTTTAAGGAAAGTCACAGCCTCTCTTCCATCGATCAATCTATGATCATACGTCAATGCCAGATACATCATAGGCCGAATAACAACCTAAAAATGAAATGTCATTGTCTTTTACATTTAAATCATAAGTAAACTTGACCTCTCGCTATTTTCTCTGAATTGGAGCTATCGAAAAAGCGCCAACATGACAAACGAAACTCTCAGACAGCCTATCGTAAACAATAGGAGCTTCATGGAGAAAATATGATTCCGCATCCAAACAATAATTGATATTTAAAGTTTTACAAAAATAGCTTTTTCCATATTCAACTAATAAATATGGTTATAATTATGTTAATTCTTAAAGGAAGCTATCACAAAAACCTGCCTGAACGATGGAAATGAGGACAAAGATCTAAGTTAAAACTGAAAACTAAATCCTTCAAGTTGCTAAAAATGTGTTGAAAAGTCTTGTTTGCTAAAGAGATCTTTGTGATACATTTCTTTGGTACGCATTCAGCCAAACAGATTGCAAAACCATCTTGTAGTAGCATCTACTTAAGTTTTGTGAAAAAAATTATGGCCAAAATGGGACTTGTTACTTTATCAATATTTAGCACGGACAAGTCTAAATTCGCAATTCGGAATCGAATGGATACATGAAAATCATCCACCAAAGTGTTCAAAGGCAAATGCTCTAACTAGCAGTCGTAGTGCAAAAAAGAATTGAAACCTTTATTACCTGGCCATTAACAGCAACGGGTTTATCGTTTATAGCATGCAATCCAAGAATAGCTGACTGTGGCGGGTTTATAATTGGCGTTCCCATTAATGATCCAAACACACCGCCGTTTGAGATCGTGAACGTGCCTCCGTCCATATCTTCAATAGCAAGATCGCCAGTTCGTGCCTGTTAGGAAGAAAAGACAGAGAATTCGAACATAGGAATTCAGTAGACTACAGGTCAAAAATTCAGGGGGGCACGAGTACTATAACGGAACAAATTTGATGCGAAAATAATTAGTGCCTAGGCCGGGCGAGCAGATCGCTCTAAGACGTGGCATGGCATTGAGACAAGAGTGGGTAGAAACAAAGGCAAAAGCCCTATATTCATAAATACACTAACCCTTAGAGTTAAAGATTATAAACTATATATAAAAGACGTACCTTCTCGCCAAGCTCGTTGATACCTTTTTCTATATCAAGGTAATTCATGTTGTGACGTCTCTCAAAACTGGTACTACAAGTCCCTAAAAATACACAAAATAGGCACAAAATATCGACAAGTTAATTTGAAGCACATACTTGACATTAATTTTGTAATTTGTTGCAAGCTTTGGTTTGGCTTAGTGAAGGCAATAAAGGTTAACGAGAATCGCGTGGAAACTATGGTACAGCTGGACAAGATGCATAGACCGGTAAGGAGATTCACGAAATCTAATGTTTGATTTTTTTCTACTGCCAGGCTACTATCTCGAGAGAAGAATCCCGCGACAAAGCAGCGAGACACCAATGGTTCTAAACATCAAAGGATTGGAGAAAAAGAAGCTCACCTTTGTAGTGGCTACAGCAACACTGATGTCGACATAATCGCGATAAACAATGTGCCCTTCTTCAATCACTGCAGAGCAGAAATAAACGAACATCTTTTATGCACTTTAAAGTTTACTGAACACACAAATTTGATTTATTTAGTTGCTTCTATCAGATTAGAACCCCATTTTTAATTCTTACAATGCCTGCCAAAAGTACATGGAACACCCAGCAAGTTACGTTGCATTTGATATCTTTCATTCCTTTCAAGAAAAAAATTACCACTTCCTCCTAAAACAATGTTGATAATTTAGAGAAATATCCTAAAAAAAGCGCAAAAGGAAGTGCTTCCTAAAATCCTAACCCGATTGATAGTAAACCGTCATCGTTCTGTAGGGGAGAAGGGGATGATTGATTTTGACCTTGGAAATTGACGTCAGTGTTCCAAGACTTGTAGCAAGCATTGTAGCTTTAGAATGAACTAGCTCTAACAATGCTTCACTTCACACTTTGAAATATAAAAATAAACAGGTAATTTAAACCCACATACCAGCATTTACCACTGGCATTGACTGCAGCGCGTAACAAGCTGCTTTTGTGAACGCGGACATGAATCCAAGTTTGAGGCCGTGCGATTTTAAGAAGGCATCTTTGTGTTTTGATCGCATGTCCATGATATTACTAGAAAGTGAACAAAAAACTTTTAACGAAGGGAAGACAATAACAAATTATTTTTGAGCTACATTTTCCTTGTCACCATAGCATACAGTGGCCATTTCGCTAACATGCCTGAAAAGCTAAACTAGTAAAGAATAAAAGGCAATTATTTAAATATTTGGATCTCTGAATGACTGTAAAGCCGATCACTTTGAAGAACAAAGATGTTCCTGAAATAAGTGACACGAATGACCCAGAAAGAGTAAAAAATTTAACTACCTCATGTCTACTTCATTGAATGTTGTCAGCATCGCGTTTACATTCTGGGCATCCTTCAATCGCTGAGAGATTCGCAGACGCATTCTTGACATTTTAACCTTGATAAAACAAATGTGAATTGCGATATAAAAGATATTCTAAAACACAGGCCATTACAACTCCGCAAGGAGAAGGCAATAGCCGTAACCTAAAAAATTTTGGCGAATCTGACAAATAGAAAATTAAAAAATTAACGTGACACTGGGACATTTGCCGATTATTACGATAATACACAACTTTGAGAAGAAAAACCTCTAAATTATAAGCCATAGATATGTAAAATGGTGCATTAAGTGTGAATTATGGCAAAATCTATAACAGAAGAAGATGCTTTACGGGCAAATATGACAGCCCTATTGAAAATTGACAATGATGCATCATTAACTATCGTACCAATGACATGTCTGGCGGTTCAAACTTACTCTGGTTTCTTTGCGAGACCCACCAAGTGATGTTGGTGCTTCCTTGGCCTCGCTTTGCATGATAGCTTGAGCAGGCTGTTGACTTGCTGGAGGTGGTGGAGGAGGAGATGGTCTCGTTACCATGATAGGACCACCAGCCTTTTCAGCAACTTAAAGAAAATAGTGATGAAAATTAATAAACTGTTTATATAGTAATATACTATTAATCTGATACACTATAAATAAACCGATCGATTAACTGTAAACTCAATGAAAAAACTCTTAGCATCGCAGATTTTGTGTCTTCTCGCTTGATACGCTAAACAGCTTGATTAGTGCGACTTGATGAGATAACCTTATAGCTATGTGAGTAATATGACTTACTAATATAGACCTGATCCTTACATATTTTCTTCAATTGTAGTCGCAAAATAAATCAGTGATATTAATCATGCAGTACTGTCTTGCTTCCTTTCTCGCAAAATCGGTACTACGCCAAACCAATCGTCGAATTCGTTCGTTCACTTGTAAATAAATGCAATGCTGAATTTTTTAATTCGTTCCATTCTGCTACAGATTGGTTTTGATTACTCGAATCTGCGATCATGCCAAGAGCCGACAAGGGCCGAAGTTTACAGCAACATTTTGGCAAACAAAAAATAAAACTGGAAAGAAAAGTTATTTCAACATATTTCTACTAGTTTAATACATAAACAGTTTTCAAAAGCAAATCATTTCAGCATGCAGCAGCCGAAACATTACGTGTGATACCAAACACAGGACACTATGACGCATAATGTTGCATGTTTGGAAAAAATAAATATATAATAAAAAATTTTATATATATATATTCTCATAAAGTTTTACAAAACAGACAAACTACAAGACGATGCCATAGGGAGCATGGAAATACATACCAGCCCTGTGACCGTTACATTAAACATGTTTACTTGAAATAATAGTCACATTAAATGTTGCAAATTACATGTTACAGATTACTAATAACAAAAAAACACTTGGAAATTTGCAAGTTACAACAAAAACAAAATACATTGACAAAAACAAAAGAATAATGAAAGACAAAAAACAAAACAAAAATTAGAGCAAAAAAGACAGAGAGAGGTACCTGGTGGCGGAGTTGATGGAGGAGCTGGTGTAACCGGGTCAGGAACTTTTTCTGCAACTGCAGGTGGGGGTGGAACTTCTTCTGCAACAACATCCTTTGGTTTTGGGGCAGCAGCTCCATCCGTTGCTAAGAGATGAAGAAAATACTACTGACAACCTCATTTTGGACACGCAACTCCTAAAAAAGTAGCTGCCAATTCCTCAGAGCAGTAATTGAAGCAAAATTGTTTGCATTTTCTAGTACCTGGCTTCTGAAGGTAGGTTTTAGCATACTGAAAAACATAAGTACTACCAACACAGAATGGTATTAAAGTTGTATGTGACAGACATCTCCCAGGCTTAGCAAAGTTTTGTGATGCACACAAAAGAATACAAGTGCTGAAAACTTCAAGTATTGAAGAATCTGATGATGCCAAAAAGGCATAGTTTGCCAGCCGGGTAACTTCTCAGCTTGTGATTTCTGGTACATGGCAAAAATTTCGTTAGGTGCATAAAAACTGAGCACTGCCTACTGATAACAATCATAAAATCTACAAAGCATTGAGTCCTATAAGATAACAAATTTTAAGAAATTCTAAGCACTGGTACCTCCCACTTGGATTTTGAAAAGTTTGTCTCCCTTTTCTACTTTTTCGCCATCCTCAACGAAGAGTTCTACAATGACCCCAGCGGCAGAAGCAGTGACTGGTATGCTAGTCTGTTAAATCGAAAAAAGGTTTTAAGCAAATCATGGCAAAATGCATAATGAAAAAATTAACTTGAAGAAATATATTAAAAATCAGTATCAGTATTTGAAAGCTCCGTATTGAAATTCGCTTGCGGAAATTTTGGACTCAAAACTAAGAAAGTTTTTACATTGTCAGTTATATGGCTGTAATGATGTGATTATAATTGAAATTTACAATCGAAATTACAAAAAAATTACAATTTGAAAACCTGAATAAAAAACCCATTTTTACAAACATACATTGGGAATATTGTCTGATTAGATCCAAACACAGTCTCAAGTTGATTTTCTGAATTGATGATTGCTTGAAACTTTCTTAAAGACTTCAAACTATTAGAATTTGAAAATTATCAAACAATAAAACGTTAAGTCGGCATATTTTTTAGTTTAATCTACTCTGTTCAACATAACTTTAATATTGATGAGGCTGAACTGCTTAAATCCACGAAATCAGTGAGTGTGTCCGTTTGGTTTGAGGAACCCTGTGCCCTCAGTTTCAATGAAATTGGTGTGACATTGGTTTAAAATAATTGCTAAGCTACATTACCCACATAATTGTTTATAACAAGAAACGCAAATCCATTAACAAATAGAAAACTGATTAAAGAAGTGTCAAAATCAAGAATTTTAAAAAAGAGAAAAATCAACAGAGAGAGAAACAAAGGGATTTGCACAGGATAAACTTACCTTGTCAGTTTCGATTTCTCCGACCACCTCATCTTCAGCAACTATATCGCCAACACCTACACAAGAGTCGAAACAAATGTTTAGAAAATACCATCAGCAAGAATGAACAAAAATATATAGAAATTAACAATGTTAATGATATAAATTAACAGAAATGGTAGAAATAAAGGTTTGATAGAGAATGAGGTCTATAGAGAGTGTAATAAGAAATAAAGACATGTTGAGAATTGAAATACAACTGCAATGTGATGTATGGAAATGTTTTATAGGTATCAGTCAGTTTATAGATGAAACAATAGAGTATTTAAGAAAACTAAAAATGTTACAACAAATATTTATAATTCAGAGGATTCATTTCATCAATTCATGGATTTTTCATAGCAATTAAATTCTTAATAGAAAACATTAAAATATATTTATCTATATATAAATCATAAATCCCTATCAGTGAAAACGATTTACTGTTCACAAGTATGTCATAAACTGCTATATGCTGTAAATGTAGCACTGCACGGGCTATTTGGTGTATATATAGAACAGGACGGTTCTAGTTGCTACTCCAAGTTTTAGGCCTAATGCAATCATCAGGCAACTGAAAGCTAACAAGCTAATTTCAAATCTCACAATCAAGTGTCTTTTATAAACCAAATGCTTCAATTAAAGTTTACTCCTCATAGGACGACGCACCCCCTCCCCCTCTTATATTTTTAAGTGTTTGTAATTACAATCATGCATTTTCCCCCTCTATGTTATGGCCTCCTGGGTAGACAGGGTTGATGCTCCCTCGGTATCTTCTTTATAATGGATGCAAAGTAGTGTGTAGTTAGGGTATTACAGAAATTGTTTATGTTACTTTTTGGAATGTATGAAAAAAAACTTGATTAGTATTCATGCAAGTATGAGTTATAAATCCTATTAAGTACTTCAAAACATTGAGACAACATTTCAAAATAATGCCAGAGCTAAAAATTAGTATATAACATTTAAAAACTGTAAAGACACTCCATGAAAAGACATTTTGGTTCATTTCCCTACCTTTATCCCACCTGACATCTCCTTCTGTGATTGATTCAGCAAATGGAGGTGTGTGAACTATTTCAAAGTCAGCAGCTAAAACAAATTGTTCAAGATGCAATATAATGGGAAAACTCAATTTCTATCAAATATCAATATTAATTATTGCAATAAGCAAAGTGATATATCAAGTAAAAAGACTCTTTTACCATGAGTTTTAAATGGAACTTATAAAAATCCTGAAATTCCAATGAATGTATTTCTACATTCCCAATTGAAGAAATAAATATAATCAAATATCTTTAACGAGGAGTTTGAAGTTGAGCCTGAATATACAAGAAACATAGTCACAAGGCTTGATATGACCTTATTAACCTTGTGAGTAGTTGCATGCAATCTATACTCAAAGACTGATATAGAGGGGAAAGAAAAATAGGGAGCTCACTTGATGACTTCTTGAATTTATGTATGTCAAAGTTAATTGACAAAATAGGATAGTTCTCAAGAAAAACTTCGTTGAATTCAATTTCAGTTAAGTATGGAAACTATGTATAACTGAGGAAAATAGCAATATTTTTCATAAAACTATTATATTTTTTCTTATATTCACTTGATTTTCATGCCAATGCAATAAGCATAATTTTACAACACAATTTCACACAAGATGTATTTTTATTTGTTCTTCACTGAAAAAGGTAATACTTCACCAAAAGGAAAAAAAAATATAGTAACACTAGAAGGAAAATTTCAAATCTGGCACCTACATTTGGAAGAGAAAGGAAGATAGCCACAAATGAAAGTTACAGCACAATATTGAAGTTTTCAAAATTAGTAAATTATTTGAACTTGAGTTTTCCTGCATAGTAATAAAGTTGTAAGAATAACTTCAATCAACATACCAAGTATTGATGAAGTTGTTATTTTCCTTATCCAAGAGTTTGTAATAGACGATGCTACAACAGCTGACCTGAAATTACATGCGTTCATGATAAAGACATGTGGGTATTAAACTTTCATTAGAAACATGAAAAATTCAATACTTAAATCACTATAGTAGCATCTGTCCAAGACATTAAATTTATGATTCAATGGCAAACACATGAGGACAGGACAGGACACTCGTCAAACATAGCAACATATGTATGAAAATAATGTATATCATTTCATTGAAGAGGATTTTCTCTGAAATCTTTGCAGCTGAAGACTAATATAATTTTTGATTGGAATTTTTCCACTGCTTGACTGATCCAAGTTATTATTATTGAACATATAGAATTATTTGATCAAGGCAGAATATCAGCTGTTGCTGTTTCAGCATTCTCTCAAATTCTTTTGTTGGGTCCAAAATAGCTTTACATTTCTTGATGAATTTTGCATTTTCAAATTGAAAATGTCTGTCTGGCAGGGGATTCATTGGCCTGTTTGCAGGCACACCACATAAGAATTCTACCTAAAGATAAACAGTTTTGCTTGGGAGCCCTCTTGTGGTTTCATTTTGGGTCATGCCTACAGCTGGTCAACTGCAATTCCATTAGATTAAAATCACCTACCTGACAAACTTTTCAACTAGGAAACTCTCATATATGCTATATTCTGAAGACTCTTGTTTTGTTATGTAGGCTTAACATTTCCAGTGCCATAGGATTTCTTACAAAGAACTATTCTGATTGAAATTTGCAAATTCCTTTTAGTGGTAAAAACTGAAAAATGGCTTTGAAAAAAGCAAACATTTGAGTACACTGAAGCTACTCTTTTCATGAACAAAATACATCAGATTTCAAGCAGCTTTAGATTAACTATCATTCTGTGCTAGGTTGCTCCAGTCCAAAAGCTGGAAAATTCTGAGGCTTGCATTTCACATATATCAATATGTTTCAAAAAATTCATATACTCCATATAAATCTCATAGCAAGTTTTAAATGTTTGTACCTGTTTGTAAGTTCTCCAACAGACACTGAAAGATATGCAAAATAATGTATGGCTTTAAAATCAAAATTCAGTAAACATATAAATCAAGGACTGTTTTTTGCAATTTCTACAAAATGAAAACTTCTTATTTAAACATGTCAAATGAACTAGAAACACACGCAACCAGTTAAACTTGAAACCTTGTTACTATGTTGCTATTACTTGAAACCTGTTAAAATAGAATAAATTACTACACTTTACATATTTATAACAGGGTTTTATAGTAAATGTGCGAATAAAGGAGAGGCCACGATAGCAGGCTGCTCGACGGACTCCGGAGGAAATCTTGATAATTGATAAAACATTGATAAAATTGATAAAACAGTAGAATATAAGGAACACCACAACACAACGAGAATAAACGAAAACAAACACACAAATCAGCAATGGCTAATATTTCGCTTCATCTATTTTTGACAATCTTGGTGGCTATTTGTAAATTTGTCTTGTTTATTATTTGGTAATATTTATAGCATGAATTTTACTCAAATCTTGCAACACTCAATAAGCTTATATCCTGTTGTAACAAGCTAAAGGAATTTATTAAGGTCCTCTATTTGGCAAGAAATCAAAATCATTCTTTTAGAATTCATAATGACAATTCCTGGTTTGGTTTACAAATTTAATTTTCTTACTTGCCTTGAAATCATGATAAAATAATACATGTTGTGAAAATTAAATCTTGCAATTGTGAATCTTATCAAAAAGCAGAAATGGGCGTCACCCAATTTTGGATGAAAGTCAAGGGCGTTGCCTTAAAAATATGGGACCACGCCTATTTAGGAATCCACTCAATTTTTGTCTAGATCCGCCACTGTCCATAGAGAAGATCGCCCCAACTTCTATATAAATAAAAATGAATGATGATATCTGTTTTCTAAGACATTAATCACAATTTCAACTTTGTTAAATGATAATAGTCCTTACATACCTGAATAAGAGGCCACCCTGTGAACTGCTGGGTAATAAATCTATTGATAAAAAGAATAATTAACATTTGCATATATATCATTAATGAAATAATATCTTAAAATACAATGTGGCACAAACTTATTGTTTCTTATGTATGTATGTACTTATAATATAGCATTGAAGATTAATGATTAATACCTTCCTGTTAGTTATTGTTTGATGCAATATAAGCAGAATTGTGCATGCATTGGCGTACAGAACAGGGGAGTCCTTGCAGGCCTGGCCATTTGAGGAGAGCCATAGCTCTTGCTCCCCTCCAGGCTCTCCTCAAACGCTGGAGGGGAGCTAGAGATTGCTCTCCTAAATTGTTCTAAAAAGCAAATTTGCTCTCCTTGAAATCAATTTTTCCTTTGTTTCTATTCTTATAGCTCACCTGAATACTTCTAGGAGAGCTGTTTACTGCTCCCCTGTTAAAAGTCTTACGGCCAGGCCTGAGTCCTTGGCTGCAACTCTGAGTTTCATGCTTGATGTAAACAGTTGAATGTCGAGTGTATTGAGCTAAACTCAAAGTTGCAACTTTGAATCATCCTGTTCTAAGCCACGGTGGAATCAATGTGAAGCCCACACCGGATATACACCATTAAACAATAGAAAGACAATGGAAAATTGTTTGTCTGCACTGGATCTCCAGATCCACGTTGGATTTTAAAGACCATAAAATCCACTTAAAAGTATACCAAAAAGATTATGCACAATAAAAACTATCAATGTTCAAATTTTTTGGGGGGGGAAGAAAAGCTATGTCATTGATATTTTTGGCAGGTGTCTAGAAACTTCCAGTTTAACTGCCTGGTCTTGTGAAATTATGAAGAGGCAACAGTCTGGCATCCATTTGAAATTGATAGGAGCTCTTTTGTTTATTTTATTGAATGCTGCTTTCGTGAATATTGAGACCTAGGCTTTGCATAAACTTGTTTCTTGTTTTCTGTTTCCTGCATGAAATGTTTCAGTTTTTTCTGTGTGTGAAGCCATAGTTTGACCCAAACTATTTTACATGCTTTTTAAGTTTTCCACATTACAACAAAGATTTCGCATGGAACTCAAAGACTCGTCCACGACACGGGTCTTATTAAAACTAGGCAAAGAAAACAGAAAAGGAGTGACATTTCTCTTTTGATTTCACGTCTTAGCGACAAAAAGAAACTATGGAAACTTTCGACTTCGACCAAAGAAAGAGGCCTAGATTAAAAATTAGCAGCCAACACGATGAATACGCTCTGTTTTCAAGATGCAGTATTGCTTGTTGCGAAATACAAACCTGGCGACTGCAGACTCGGGAACGAAAGCTGCTGATCAGTTGCCTGAATGCTTTAGAAGTGTTAATACATTTACAGGAAGCCATCTTTTCAAAGTGCAGTTTTGATCAGTCACGGTGCCATTACATCGCCGAAAACGGCAAACCTCCTTCCACTCCCATAATACCTCGCTCTCGATCCAGGTCATCATGTTGCTCGCAGCTCACAACAATACTGTTGCTTTTTCGACTGCCACGTAAAAAACCTAATGCAAAATGAATGCATCCTCTTCAGACACCGCGGAGCAGGGGCTGACGGGTTTATCTTTTTGCAATAAATTCAAAATATTAAGAAGTGAATCGCCAGAAAAGCCTTTTTTATTTGGTTTTAGCCCCCGCAATTTTTTAGACACCCACTTTTCGCAACGCTCCGCAGTGCCTGATCTGGAATGAACGAAATTAAATTTGTGTTTTAATTAGATTTTCTTGAAGGGGTCGGTTTTTTTTCCTCGAAAGAGTTCCACTAAGAGTTCGGCGTAGAACACATGAGAATTCGACGGTTTTGACCATTACCCAACGTTCTATACCCCGGGGAAAGTGGACAAAATCACTCTACTTAGATTTAATGCTTGCAAAAAGAACAGACCCGGTTCAAATTCTGGCCAATATCAAGTTCTTTGTTCTTAGAAGACAGTTTTTTAAAAAAAGTAGCTTTAAGAAAACGTTTTGAAAGTATCACATGTATGGTTAAAAAGAAATTAGAGTTTATTTTTACATGTCACTGGAGGAAGAGCTCTAGCTTCATAGCAAAAAATCGAGTGCCCGTTCATCTTGGCACAGCAGGCACGCCAGAGCCGGATTCTTTCTATTTACTGCATACTGGGTGATGTTAATATTTCTAATTTGTATAAGAGATTATTTGCTACCTTATCAAGGCATCATTTATTTTTCTATTAGTTATGATTTTCCTTAAAATTAATGACACGAGGTAACGCCAAATGGTATCACGACAAGTAAGCAGAGAATACAAAGCAATTCTACTTAAGATATTTGCAAGTCAAACCCACAAGAACAGAGCAAAGTTTTCGCTTGGATTTGTTTAAAATAACTTTAATAAAAACTCTTTAAATTACTTTTGATATTTGCTGTCAGTTTGTTCAAGAATCTCATCCTTTTTCAATTTTATTCTTGTTGTATCCTTTATTTCAGTGGCGGAAATTCAGGCTTTCATTTGTTGGGGGATATGACTGCTATTTTCCGACAAGATAACATCTTGGATCATGTCCAACTTTGAAGAAACTGCGCATTTTGATAAAAATAGATGATTTTTGACGGGACCCTTTAGAAATCTTGACTGACCACGCCATAATTAAGTAGCAAGACGAGCAATCCATTTATGATTCTTGATATCAAGATCGATATCTCATCTAAGACAATTGATGATACAAGAAGTCGACCGATTACACTTTTGATAAGTCGTACGTTCATTTTATGCATTTTATCTTGTCTTCGTCAGTGGAGAATACGTTTGAAAATAACTATTATTCAGAAGAATTCAATGGAAATTGTGGCTAAACTTTGTGGAGCTCGCTCGCTCCCCTCCAAACTCCCATGATTACCGCCACCGGCTTACTGGAAATGTTACATTTTGCGCCATATCATTAGCACTCAACTTGTGTTAGGGCAGATTACAGGGGGTTGAGACACTCGTCCAATCTCTTTGTGTCATTCGATCAATTTTGTTTTCAGTTTTTTGGCTTTGAAACGCAAAAGCTTTTAGTAAAATGTTTGCTTTTTCAAAGCATTTTTGTTTTCATTCGGCAAAGATAATATTATGATAGCCAGTTGTAATCAAATGACGCCAAAATTTTACCATACTTGTCTTCTTACTTCATGACCTTGCAGATAAAAATGGAATTCAAAAATGAGTTTCCCATCATTTTCTAAGTATATGAAAGTATGGCACCAAAAACCAATTATCATATATCACCCTTCTCCCCCAAACAAGGATAGAAAACATGTACGTTTTTGGATACTCTTAGCTGCCCACTGATTTATAGAAGACTTTTCTATAGATCAGTGTAGCTGCCTCATTTTCACCTCATTATCAGAACATCCTCGTTTTGACTTTAGGCCAATCTTCAGGTTGGTTTGGTTTTGTCAGCACTTTTTAGACAAAAAACTGCAGACGCATTTTGTAAATTGTCTAAAATGAGTTCCATCGGTACAGGGGTGAGTAAATCTTAAGCTTGTATTCAGTCAAATCTTATTCGAAATTTGAAAAATTAAGGATAATATAATTAGCACGGCCATCTTGGCATGTGTGCTGCTGTGACAAAAGTACATTTTAGAGAAAGACCTCGGAAATTTATTGCAGTACAATTGTTTGCAGAACCCATAAGTCTATGTATGTACCCAAATAATTGAAAAACAAATGAAAACCATTTCCCCAACCTCATATGAACCACTGGATGCTTGTTGTCCGTCTGGAGTAACACGCAGCAAGTTTCTTTTGAGTTTTATGCCATTGCAAAGTTTCCTGTGAATATTCTCATTTCTGGCCACAAGAAATTGCCAACAGGAAGAGCAAAATGGAACATCTTTATAAAAGATCTTTTCCAATCATTTCTGAGACACTGCCAACACAGTGTCTCAACAACACCACACTGCCAATCCATGAAAATCTCATACCTAAAACATGCCATTTAACAATATAAATACAGGGAAATGGTTAGTACATACCTCTGGCATCAGCTGCATAGATTCCACGCTGGTTGTCACCTCAGGGCATCTGCTACAGATTTTGTTATAGAGTTAACAGTTTTCTCATAACCAAGGTAAATTTGTTCCCATTTTCTGTAGTATTTACAAGGGCATCAGACTATCAGTATTGCTACGCTTTTTAAGCAAAAAGCCCTATAGGGTCATACAAACATATCAGGCAAGCTATAAGTCTGACCATCTTTTTAAGTTAGACTCAATACTTTTTGCTGGATTGTTTTTATCATTCTCAACTAGGCTGATAGCGAGTTGTTTTTAACTTTTCAGTATGATTTGTCAGCAAATCAGTTTTCTCCTGATGGCAGAGTATTTCAAGTAGAGTATGCCATGAAAGCAGTGGAAAATAGCAGGTATTTACAGTTCATATAAATTGAAAATTATCTTAACTTAATTAGTTTTACTTTCATAGTCTTGGCTCTAAGCACAGTATTAAACTTGAACTGTGCGAATTGTGATACCAGCGTGAAAAGAAAAAGAGGTCTTGGCCCCCTACTTTTGCTAGCATGGACCCTGGTGTTAACTGACTACTGAGTTGTAAATAATTTAGGATGCATTTAGAGATCAGTTGCATGCATACTGTATGCCTGTGTGTTGAAACTCAAGGCATGTCTTTGGTTACGTATCATTTGGCATGACAAACAAGCAGTTTTCTTTTTATCACCAATGGCATCTTGAATGATGAGCCCCACCCAAAAAAATCATGAAGATCCTTTATTCAAGTCTAGAAATAGCACATAGGTTCATTTTTCATTTTGCATCCATAGCCTATCCTTTTCTGTGTGTGAAACTTTCTTTTGCTAATTACCCCAGCTAAAAATAGTTGAAGGGGGAAATTTTCAGTTGGGGTCCATATCCATATCTTTCTCATTGCATCAAACTGCCCCTGATTGCAAAGTTTCATGCTAGTATCAAAATTCTCACAATTCAACCTGATAAGTGACTAAACAGGCCTGACTAAATGGTTTTGCCTCAACTCATCACTGTGATGTCATTCTGTTTTCTGTATAAGAACAAGGGTGAAGAATTCTATAGATTTCTTTAAAAATATTGGAATGCCAAATTGCGCTGCATAGGCACTTTAACAATCTTTCTATACTAATCATAAATTCTTTGCCTTCCAGTACAGCAATTGCAATACGATGCAGAGATGGAGTTATATTTGCTGTTGAAAAACTCATTACCTCAAAACTTCATGAATCTGGGACTGGTCATCGCATTTTTAATGTGGATAAGCATGTTGGAATGGTATTTCCAGTCATCTATCATAATCTTTTTATGCTTTCAAATTATTAGAATTATTGGAATTCGCAATTTATGAATGATAATGCTTCTTCTAACAAATGGATTTAACATGATCCATGTAAAAACCAGAATCTCCACCTCATAACTAGAGCCAAAATGCTATGTATACTTTTCAAGCTTCATATACCATATCCACCTACTTTGCCATATTTTTGGATTGGACCAATCACAAAGCGGCATTTAAGCTTTTTAGTTGTGTGTCTGTTTAATGTTGGAAACCAATGATGAGAACCTGCTAATCCGCAAAAACACTTCAAGTACTGTCATTTCTTCATAGTCAACCTATACCCAACGATGTAATTTTTTTTATATCTTGGTTATCTTAGATTGTTTTTAATGAATCTTAATGTATTTCTGTTTTAATAGGCAGTGGCTGGAGTTCTAGCTGATGCCAGACAGGTACATTTTCAGACTACTCGTTTGTGCAATCTTTTTAAGACTTCTTTATCCTAGATGTCTTTTGTAGATCCTATGAAAGTTTTTAGGGTCACCTGGCTCTTTCCTAACCTTACTTAATGCATTTGCTTGAATTTGCAATCATCTACATTCCACAAAAATTGGTTTACCTAGATATATAACTTCTTTTCAGTTACTTTATTTTGTTGTGCATTTGTAGGTTGTCAAAATTGCTAGAGAAGAGGCAGCAGATTACAGGGCTGTTTTTGGATCACCTATTCCTCTTAAGGTATATATGATTCCTTTTTTATTTGAAGAATTTAGATATTACCAGTAAATGAATCATGGCCGCAAAAGTTATTTAGATGAAAATAATTCTTTGTCCATAAAGGTGACATATAAGCATCACATGCACATATTAGGCCTTTCATCCCACATTTCTTGAAAATGTTTTAAGTAACAACTGTATTTTTTGTTTTAGTATCTGGTTGAAAGGGTAGCAGGGTATATTCATTTATATACACTGTACAGTGCTTATAGACCATTTGGTTGTAGGTAGGTTTGTTTTATACATTTCTTCATCTTCCTACTCTCAAGTTCCTAATTTTAGGGGGGGGTCTAATAAGGAGGGAGGTTGGCATTTTTTAGAAAAGCCTAAAATGGGGGGTCATACAGGCCTTGCCGTTTGAGGCGAGCGATAGCTCGCGCCCGCCTCCACGCTCCCCTCGCAACCTGAGACGAGCTATGAATTGCTCTCCTAAACAGAACATGAAGGAAGAATCGCTCCCCTAAAATTTCGTATTCAGAGAATTATGAAAACGCACAAGGGTTAATTGGTTTATTTTCGTAACAGCAATTTCTCCCGTCATTGCATTTGTTGCAATTAACTTTTTGCTTGTTGGGCGGTTTTTGTTATGATAGGCATAAACTTCAATCTATTTGGAAAAAGATAGTCAACCGAAAGGTACGTTTGTAGCGATTAGAACCTTTCAATCTTAAGAAAACAGGAATATTTTTGGAAGGAAAGTCGAAGAATTTGGTAGGAAATTGTAGATTGGGGATATAATAAGACAGCAGGTCCCTCCCAGCAATAGAAACAAAACAATCCCTCAAAGAGAACAAGGTACTCTGTCTTGCAGATCAAAAACGACAACCAAAACATGGAATTCCACTATCCAGCGGCATTTACTGAAAAACCCAGATTGGGTGAAAACTATAACCTGATCATCGTTCCATCTAGCAGTTTGTGAATCTATCTACTATATAAACATGACCAACCGCTTTTGTTTAGACATAAGTGAGTTCGATTTCACCTTAGGACTCCGTTGGTAATATTTTCAATAGGAAAGCGGCACTGATTGGACAACCTCAACAGTCATGTGCTCGCGTTTTCTGATTGGCCTATTTCGATCCAAAACTGGGTATTTCAGCGTAGAGTTTTCCATCTATGTCCTGACGTTTTATTCTCTGAAGAGTGCTAGACGTATAACTTCAGCTTGTTTTAATTTTTTTTTTCAAAGCCATTTTCAAATTCTGTGCAACAAAAAGATTGTTTTGCAAGAGAATTGTTGTTTTTGTGTTGTGCCAGCTTTACATGAAACTGAAAGAGTCTGTTCTTTCAAATACTTCAAGTAAAGGGGGTGCCTAAGTCACGGTTAAAGCAAATACAAATTGAAAGAATTAAAACAGCATACTCCTGACTGAGGCTATTAAAGGCAACCTACAGATACTAAAGGGGCTTATTAAATCATCTGTTGATTGTCTTTAAAGTATATTCTATGTGTTACTGATTTAGCTTGCCTCAGCAAATGAGGGGAGCGATTCACAGCTCACCTATAAAAATACAAAGGGCTAGGCCTGTCATACTAGATTGAAATTTCTTACATTTTCCGAAATTATGTTTAAATTGGGACAAAATTATGTTAATCATGCATAAAATTAAGTTAATCATGCATGAAATACATAATTAGGGAGAGGGTGTTAATAAATGGAAATGAGTATGCAAAATTTTTCAAATATCCCATCTATTCCCATTAATTAAGTTAAATAGGCAAACAGGTTCTAAACAGCACTTTATTAAAGTTATTCTCATTATAAATTTTTAAATTTACTAACAAGTTTCAATCTTTTTTAGTATTTTACTTAGCTCATACGAACATGGTAAACCTGGCTTGTACATGATAGATCCATCTGGTGTATTTTATGTAAGTTTTTTCAAGTTAAGTTTCATTTTCATTGATTATTCATCTCATGTTGAAGCTATGGACTTGTTTAAAATGAAAAGATGTACCAGAAATTTTGTTGCTTTTTAAGATTTGGATAAGGAAAGTTAAACATGTTTTCCTGTGCATTATCTATAGCAGACTCTTTCCTCTGATTATAAGATTCAGAAAGTATACAATTTTGACTTCGATTTTGTCCTTACTGATAGAAACATTTTCATTGGCTATTGGCCAAAAGGTAACCAACCAGTGGCTATTTTTGGCAGCAAAAATTTATAGGGAAACTTAGTTGCAAAATGCAAAGTTGAAACTTAATCACCCATTGTCCCTGATTTCTAAAAAGGTTAACTTGGTAATAGAGTTATAAATACTTTTTATAAAAGCTTATGATAGTACTGTGAAGAGTATTCCTGGATAATGATTCTTTTTCTTAAATCTCTGAAATCAAGACCAGAAAAAAGATAGTTGCAACCTCAAGAACTCCCAAAAACATTTGTCCCCACAATGCAAATATGAGTAACCATATGCCTAAAAAGACTTCTTTATTGAATTAGTTTTTTACCATCTCTTACAGGGTTACTGGGGTTGTGCCATTGGAAAGGCAAAACAAAATGCACAAACTGAGATTGAAAAATTGAAGGTTGGCCCAATGACTCTTCAGTCTTTTAAAGTTAATTTTATGCTTTTGCTGAATTTTTTAGTCATATTTGATATTTTCTTTTATCTAGTAAAATAGATTGAATGCATTGTATTAATCCTTGCATTGCTAAAGAAACAGTCAACAATAAAAAGTTATTTACTAAATGCAAGCTGATGCATGCATACTGAAGCTTTTTCTAAAAACCAAGACTATCTGAGTTTATCAATGATTTTATCACAAATGGTCTTCTTTTTTGGAAGCTATAAGCTACTTTCAATGTTTTCTTTTCAATTTAGGTTACAGACTATGACTGCAAAGAAGCTGTAAATGTTGCTGCAAAGATGTATGTTACCTTCTTCAGCATTTAAAACATATATGATAACAAAATAAGTAAAACATACTTTATGCAGGCCTTGCAACTTGAGCTGAGCAAAAGCAAGCTCTGTTTTGATCAGGTACACCGTAAACAATCATGGTTCTTATTTTATTACTTTTCCCAAAGTTGCTAAGCACTTCTGAAACTTTGCTCAGCACTGTGAAGGCTTGAGTGATAAACTACCCAATGGAAGTATTTTGTTTTGATTTGTAGCACTTTTCTTGACTTGAAAATCAGTCTATAATTAAATAACTTAATTTTATCAAATGCTGTTGACATTATAGAGAATCCCTGAACATAAATCTGGCTATTTCCACATCTATGAATAAGCAAGCAATCGTAACGAAACCGTTCTTTGTTAACATACATTCAATACAATTATGATCTTATTAAATACTGCTCAACTCCTATGCATCTTCAAGGGAATGTGAAATTATTCTGTACGTCGTGATACTTAAGACATTTTTCAAGCCCCCTTCTCTGTCCACCAAAGTTTCTCTGAAGAGCTAATAATGCTTAGGTTGCATCAAAAGAAAGTGTGAAGAAAGCTAAGCTAAATGAAAGTGTGAAAAGGATTTTTGGTTACGAAATATTGAAGTAAAAACTATACTTTTGTTGGTTAGAAACATACAATGTCTCGCATACATATTAGCATAGAGTGAAGGTAAATGTGATTCTGTTTCAATGCAAGGCATCTTCAATTTTACAATGAATCCATCTTTCATGACTGTAAAACAAAACACTTTGATTATCATATATTTATGCAGCATTCATATCATCCACGATGAGGTAAAAGACAAGTCCTTTGAGCTAGAGATGAGCTGGGTCGGAGAAGGTAAGTTTCGTGATTTAAAGGAGTCTGCTTTTTAATTTCAAAACGTTACCTAAAAAGAGTTGGCCAGAATTGTATTTTCCAGTTGTTGTATTGAAATTTTTCAAGCAGATTTTTCCTGGAGACAAAAGATGGTTAAAGGGAGAAAATTCGCAGAAAACCTTGCTATACCGACCATTCTCGTAGATAGAGGAAAGTAACTTTTGATCTCTGGTAGAATCGTCTCTTTATGACTGTTAGCTGTAACGAGATTTAAAAGCAGACTATTGTTGTCACAATAATTTATTATCTACAATCTGTAGCATCTGGTGGTCAACATGAGATTGTCCCTAAAGCCATGATCCAGGAAGCTGAAGATTTGGCAAAGGTATGATAACACGAATTACTTTGTCAAATAATGGTCAAATAACAAATATATATTAATCCGTATCAAATGACCTTAAATAATGATGAAGGCAAACCCCTCCGCAAGGCACTTCTGACATCAACTGGGGTGAGCAATTTTTTGCCTAAGTAAGAGTTAAACATCAATTGGTATCAAAGATTAAAAAGAGAGACTAAATTGTCTGGTTTTGAAAAAAGTAATTTCCTTTGCAGAAGGCGATGGAAGAAGACTCAGACTCGGACGAAGAGCTATAGTTCTGAGATGATGCAACAAAAGTTGAAAAAATCACTGTTTTTGCAGAAGAAGCTGTGGGGACACAATTCGGTGTTCACTGCGATGTATTTCTTCATCCCCATTTAGTAAAAAATATTATTTGAAGTTTTATGAAACATTTCAAAAGCCTTTTATTCAAAAGCGTCAAATATTTAATATGTAGAGCGTTTCCTGCATTACCATTGATCTGATTGCCGGCATGTCATTATTCTGAGTTTTCTTATTAATTTAACTAGAAAAGTGAGTCTGAAGTTAGTATTCCTCGCGGATTTTGAGACGGAGATCGATATATTTTTCCATAAATCTAATTAGATTTTCTTGCTAACAAGAATAGTAACAAATATACTTTCAAGCTTGCCGGTTCTTTTTGCTGATATGACGAATTAAGGCATATTTTCCCAGTTAACACCCGCGTCTATGAACCTACGGTTTCTAGTTTCAATCTGTAAAGATCCTTAACGACGGTTGAACAGAGAAAGAGCATCTAAGGTGCTTAAAATGTTTCAAAATTTTATTGAAATTAATGATACTCGTAGATCAACATCAAAAAAATTCAGTATGAAGATGGAACATTAAATGTTCAAAGCCTCTTATAAACATTGCAATAAGGCTAAAGTTTTCTAGTTTATTTTTATGAGAAAAAGCAAAAGATTGGTAGAGTTTTTGTTGCGTGATGGTTCATTTTTCATGTGGGCGACCTGCAACTAAGAATGTATTGCAACATTTTAGGTTAAATTTGTTCTTTTAAGACGAGAGTCAATTCCAAAAATTTAAGCCTGTTGGCTTGTAATTCACTAAGTTGCAAAACGTGGGTGTTTTTGTTACGTGAAACATGAAAGCGACTGTAGATGCGCAATGAATTCACAAAGGAAACAACCGCAACGAGTTTAAGCCGTTTTTGAGGTGTGCTGTTTTATTAAAGACAATCATTTTGGCTTGCTCTTTCGGTTTTATCTATGAAGCATTTGCTGCACTTTATATTTCTAGTACATTCAATGCGAAACTTGTGTGTTGGTCACAGGTGTAGTTGTTTGTTGCCAAACATGGCCAGTCTTGCTAATGGTTCATTGGGCCTCTAATGGAAACAGTAATTTGGAATTGAACTTCAAAGTGTTGCTCAAGTAGGTTCTATTGATTTCAGTGAAACCAACTGGTAATTTACTGATCCAGTGTATTCCCACAAGCAGAAAGGGAGGAGGTTATGTAGTGTAAACATGTGACCTGCTGTAGTTGATTCTCTTTAACGGGTAACTCAGATGTAAAGGGGTTCGGTTCCTTTATGCATTATAATTATTAAACTGAAATGTTTACTTTGGCGGCAGTGACCTAACGTTTTTGAATCATGTAAAGTTGTGATAAAAACAGAGCTCTTTTTGTCATATTTTCATAAAAATCAAGTCAACTATCCGATTTTTCGATGATCTCGAACGGTACCCGTAAACATCGTGAATATAATACCAGCTACATTTTAGCAAGTGCGCGTCGTTATTGTTCAATGCGCGCTTAGGAAAGAGACGCATGGAAGGAGTAAGCACAACGCCACGTTCACACGAACAACATGGCGTTCGACTGCAAAGGAAACAAGCGAGGAAGATGTTTGGTTTGCATTGAATGTGAGGAGTTCACTCCCTGGGCAAAGAATGTTAGATGTGCTTACTGTGACTGCCCGCCTACTAAGCATCAGCATTTTCCCGGTCATGAGTTGCCAACAAAAGACAGGAGTGTTTCCACAGTTGATGGAGTTCACGGAGACTTGCAAAGCCGGGAGGGTAGCAGGTTCAGTAACGTCTCTGAAAACAACTCGACCCATCAGATGCACTTATCGCTGGTCAATGAAGGTTCTATAGAAAGTTTAAGCCAAGGTAAGCAAATTGGTTGGAGAGATAATCGCAAAGTTACCAAAAAGGGGAGAGAAAGGGAATATAACATTTGCTGTAAATTGCATGTAAACCCGCGAGAGTCGGTGTGTATTGAGTGGGATGAGGCCAAGCAAGGGATGGTAAACCCCAGGCACCCAGAAGCAGCAGCGGTTTAGGGACTGCGGGGCCCGGGGCCAAACAATTTGCCCTTGTTCTTTACAATTTCTATCTTTGTTGTTAGGTGTGGGGCCCCTTTTGGCTACCACCCCAGGCCTGATGGCGCCATGCCCCCTGGACCCCCCGCCACTGCCCAGAAGAAGAAAGGATAGTCTAACCATCAGATGCAAATTCCTTCCCACTCTCGATAAATATCCGCTAATTTCGACTTGAAAAACGTTTTCCTTAGAAAAAAGTTTAGAAAATATTGTGACTCTAACCATTATTTTATTCAGACCCCAAAATCAGAACAAAGGGATTTCTTCCTTTCAGCGGTTTCTCAAAGGTGCAGAATTACTTTGTCAAAGTACATCCTATTTTATTATTTTGAACATGAATAAGATTTACTGTGGGTTTGTTTTTAATTTTTTCTAATGGAAAATAATGCTATTGGGAGAGTGTTGCACTGAAACATGAAATTATGCGATGAAGGTAGAGGGCTATGCCCATCTATTCTGAAACATCTGTAGAGGGCTATGCCCATTCCCTGCCATGCTGTACAGGAGGCACCACAACGTATTCATTATGTTGCTTTTGCCAATAATAGGTGATTTATCAACAGGCACAAGTACTGGGCATGGATCCTTGCACAAGCTTAGCAGCACTGCAACACACATCAAAGAGGAAGAAAGCACTACAAAAGTTGTCTCAGTGACCCATTTTCATAAGTGCCCAGTTTGCAAAAAGAAGTTCAAGAAAATATCAAATCTAAAAAGTCATATACTTTTACATAAAGGGAAGTTGCAGTTTAAGTGTAAGAAATGTTCACATTTCTTTCAAACATTGGAAGAGTTATTGGGTCACAAGAAACATCATGAAAACGAAGATCAAAGGCAAGGTAAAAACTCATATTTGTTATTTCTGCATTTAATGGTTCTCAACAATCAAGCTGTATTGCAGGGATAGTTTATGTTCTCTATACTAAATCCGGATTTTTAAATATTTTTCAACCTTGTGGAAGAAGATGATGTTAAGACCATTGCTAGTATCACTAGAACCAGAGCCAGCAACATGTGGCCCACAGTCCAAATCCAGCCAAGTCAGTAAACATTTCGTGGCACACAGACCTTTGAGTTTTTGCAGAAAAATACAAAATTCAAAGAGTCAAAATCAGTCTGATGATAAATGATTTCCCGCAACTTTTTTCAACCTGCATTCAATATTTCATATCTATTTTGTCAGCAAGCCTTGAAAGGGATTTCTATATCTGAAAAGATCAAAATCTCTGGGAGTTCCTAATTATCAAAAGCAGCTTTTCCCAAAGATAAAGTCAAAACGTGCATACTCAGACTAAGGGCATACAGTTTGTTCTGTTCAAACCTGATCATTGTGGGTAAGCTTGGTAGCCTGATTTAGAGTTAAGATAGAAAACTATTGTTGCCAGCTGTTTCATTCAAAAATTTCAATATTTTGATATTCTTTGGGGGTGTGGTGAATATGCAAGCTCCTACAGAATTCTCTATTCTGCTCTTCTAGATAAGAAACATCATAAATTTGGCCCCATGAAAATTGTTTGCCTCTACTGATCTACAACATCTAAAATATAAAATATTTTGCTCTACAGGGAAAGCAAATTCATTGTCTAAGATGCTAAACTCTGAAGAAAACCATGGCAGAAAAAGAAAAAATTTGGCGAAGATGACAACCATTGCACCAAAGCAATCTTCTGTTCCATCATATCCCCAAGGAATTAACTTGTGGAATGCTGCCAATCAAAATGCCTATTTGATGAGTCCACTTACTGGGGGTCTTTTCCCACAAGTAACCATGCCTGCCCAGATTCTTCAGAATAATTCCTTGAACCATACAGGAAGAGGCTTTCAAGAAGTACAACAACAGAACACTACCCCTCCACAAGACCAAATGGATAATCATAATAATCAAAGTCAAAAAATTCTTAACCTACTTCATGGCCTAGACAATAAAGCCAGTAGTTTAGCACAGATTGATAGAAAGCTTGATTATATAATTCATGCAGTAAGCACACCAAGAGAGCCTGTCCAGGAAAGCCCAAGTTTTACAGTAGAAACAGACCAAGTAGCACGTTCATTGGAGCAAATAACAGCACAAATAGAAGATCCTACACAGCAGTCGCGCTTGCTTACAGAGCCAATTTCAGAGCCAGTAACATTTAAACGGGGCAGCCTACTTCCAGGTCAACAAATACCTGATGCAGTGGTTGATGAGGCATTCAGATCTAGTGTTTCAAGGAGAAATCTGGCAAAAAATCTTGTTTTTATAGTTTTTAGTGCAGATGAGCTGAGAGGTAGAAACTGCTCTGGCAAAGTTTATGGGAAAGGCCTTCCAAAAGAAAGACTGAATCAACTCAAATTGCATGCTGTCAAGATGGCCACATTTAGAAAATATCCTTGCAACCCTTCAGAAATGGATATTATCTGGCAAAGAGAATGCATTAAAGCAATTGACAAGGCTATACGAAGTAGAGCATTACACAACAAATTGTAAAAAATATTTATCTGATGAAGGTAAAGTAGTAGCATAGGTGTTTAAAACCAAAATCTTATTTCAGTCATCAATATAAATTCATACATTGTGGATATGATTTATTAAGAAAAGCAGTGATTACTTGAAGTCAAAAACTTCTTACAAGAAAACAGGCCCATTATTGACTATATTTGGTATCTTCTAAAAGGAAAGTTTTCTCAATAGAGCAAAAAAATTCAACTTTTAAGGTTGAATCTAATTGGAGTTTTAGGAGCAAGCCCCTTTCTATGGAGAGTAGATAAGAAACATTCATCGCTAGCGTATGAGTCAATGCCTTTACATGGTTGGCCAGATTTACAAATAATAATATAAAAAGGGGTTAAAGTGAATTTTTACAGGTTGGTTTTCTAAAAACATTATATCAGAGAGAAGGTATGAAAAGTCTGAAATTCAAATATACACCTTCTTGAAAACATATTAAAAACTCTCCAATAAAGTGTCACCTTTGCACGACATTAATTCACTGACTGTAAGCTTCTTCTAACCAGAGCTTAAACCTATTTAAAGCACCAGTGTAGCCCCCCTGTCCATCCTTCAACTGATGCAACATGGAAGTGCATTATTTGCTCTTAAAATGCTATCGATACAAAGTGTTTGTTTTGATTTTATCAAAAAATTGTCCGTATGGAGAATTGTCATGGACATCAAAGAAATTGTCATGGAAAGACTAGAAGTTCGGAGATGCTGTGATAAAATATGATTTAGCATAAAACACATTTTATTGTTCTTGCATCAATTTAGGGGAGGGGGCACAACTCATAAGCTCATGCAAATAGCAAAAATGCAACATTTGTGAAAGATGTGAAAAACCATTGGTTAAAGTAATGAGTAAATTCATTTTCATTTATTTCATAATGAAAGTCATAATGAAAAGTTTTATTAGGACCAACCAGAATCACTCTAGATTATCTGCGGCAGTCAAAATCAAAGTCATTGGGGGAAAGATACGGAACCAATCCAAGGGTTAATTGTTACTTTTGATTTAGTATAACTTTCTCAGATATTAAATTCTGTCTTTGAAATAAGCTAAAACTGATGAGAAATTATGAAAGCCAAATCTTTTTCATTTCATCAAGAAAGGGACAACTTCCCAATCAGACTAGTTACTTTAGAAATGTTTTTTTTCAAGCCACATATAGAAAATGCTTGGCGTACAATTCACATGCTGTGAGCCAAACTAGCATAATCTTGATGCTGATGTTAATTGGAAATTTCTGTATAAAACCTTTTTGCTTTTGAAATTGTATGCCCAGAGATACGCTTCAACATACCAATGCAAAAAACAAGCAAATTGTTGAATCTTACCTCAATTATTATGAAATTAAAATTAACAGTATTTTACATTTTCTGCCTTGTTTTAGAGGATGAAATAGTATGTGCGAATTTACAAGCTAAAGTTTGTTTATTATTTGCTAACAAAATACTGTTACTAATCCTAAAATAAAAATTTTTCTGCTACAAACAGCAGACGTTTAATGTGTTTTTATGACTAATTACCACAGAATTTACCATGAATATGTACCAACTATTAAGAACCCATGAACTCTAAAATAGCAATTGCAAAAGGATGGTAGCTTCCTTGCCTTTTACCTTCTCGTTTACCTTACTTGCCTTAAGAATTAATACCTTAAAATCGGGCAACATAGCATATTAGATATTGCAAGCAGCAAATTAATTTAGAACTTTGAGCAAACTAAATGCAGTATGTCTTTGTGCTTTTACTTGCTTCATTTCTGCTTCAAATTTTCAATCTTGATCTGCCAATGAAAAGGAAGTAAATGAGAATTCCAGAAAAAGGTGAAGCTTCAAATCATTTCGTTGGGATTTTTAGGAGGAAAAGGCGCATTAAAATAAACAAATGTTAGCAAAACATTCAAATCTTACACGCATAGGATGAACAAATGTTCATTCGAAAAACGAACTGTTATTTTGATATTTGGATATTTTTCATATCAAGTGACATCAAAATCCTATGCATACAACATTATCTGAATGTACCAAATTTAGATACGCAACATTTCTTGTAGCATTTCTTCTGACCATTTTAAGAGCTGACAATTTTAAAAATCAGCTCAAATAACCCTTCAATAAGCATCCTCTTCAGTACGTACCCCCTTCAGACAAGCCGCCCGTTGACGGACTATTTGTTGAATATAGGAACCCCTCCCCCCCCTTCCCCATAAGTGCCCATTCAGGGCTGGAGCAAAAAGACTGGAGGCCTTGTCACAATCATGGATGCTGAACATAAAGATCAATTTCAAAATGTTACAGACTCAACGCCTGAAATGATGTAGAAGAGGCAACGCCAGAAATGATGATAATGGAGGAAGATTTCGACAATGATAACGTAATTGAAAAGTGTGAACTTGTTTGAGACTATTCCAATTAAATATATACGTTGTAATCAATTTGTAATCAGTTGGTTTCTTTTTAGCCACTTGGTAACGAGTACATGTTCGAAACGTCGTGCTTTTAACAATCAAACTATTTTATTTCATTCTGGTACTCAATTTCTTTGCTAATTATATTATCGTTTGTTTGAAACTGACTGGTTTGGTGTTGCGAGAAGCTTTGAATTATATTTTGATTTATACATGCTTCAAAGTTGTAATCGTTCCCTATCTCGAATAAGCTCCTCCTCTAACCAGCGGCCATCTAGAAGTGCTGATATTTAGAAAGGACCTCGGGTGCTTAATCAAGGAAATTGTGGTACGCTGTTCCAGGGGCGGATCCAGAGCAAATTTGAAGGAGGGGCAGTTGGTAATGGGGGCGCTGAAATTTTTCAGAAATTGATGACGAGTGTACGCTGTATTCACTTTGTAAGGAAATTGTTCACAATAAATGTTGTATACTTTCGGGAAATCCTTGAAGTAAATTAACCTGAAGGTCTCAGAAACTTTTTCACCTGATTCCCATTCATCTAAAGAGGCGCACAGTTTCCAAGAAAGAGGCGCCAGACCAACTCGGTGAGGGAGGGGCAACTGCCCCTTGCCCCCCTTAAATCCGTCACTGCGCTGTTCAAAAGTTTAGAAATTGCAGAAATGATAAAGATATGTGTACGCACTTTTTCAGCATTTTTTAACATTTTCTAGTTCATTGCGACTATTACGACGTTTTCATTAAAAAACAATCTTTTCTTTCAGATTGCACTTCAGTGTAGTTAACCTCGTATCACTATTTGTTCGTTTTGTTTATGATTTTTGTAATTAGTTCAATCTTGTTAAAAGGGTGATTGATAGAGGAAAATTGTGATTATCTGCAAAATATAATATTAGTGAAGCACATAAAACAAAGGAAGTCCACTGCCTGGTTGCATACTAAGAAACATTTAACAACCTTTGACTGACTTAACATCTTAATGTTTCTTAAGATTAATCAGCTTTGGTCTCGAATTATCAACAAATCTTTTCCAAAAAAGTTAAGAAAGTAATTGGTATTTGCAAAAAAAAGGATTAAAAAATGAGAACACCATTTAGATCGAATTTGCAAAATCTGCCCCTTTAAACACTGGCCTCTTGCTACGTCGACCCTTTGAAAAACGGCTAAAAACGCTAACGTTATTAAGAGCCGGCGTAAAACGAAGGGCTGATAAGATTGTGACAGTTTCTGCTCCTTTTAGGACTCTAGATGGTGGTGGCATTCGAAGTAGGTCTTGAAGGAGTATGTTTTTTATCCTGTTTCTTAGATCGAAGTACATATCAATACCAAAGTTCAGAACTGTACTGCTATTTGTAGAACAGTTATACCAATGCAATTTTGACTGACTGTACTCCTGCAACCCAGTCTAAAAATACCATCCATGGGCATATCCCAAAAGGGTTTGATATTGATCTTATCTTAAATCAGCTTTATCTCTTTATGAAGCTCAGATCTCTGCCAATATTTGTGGCAATGGTGTGATTGATGCCCCTCCAGTGCCCCAGTGAAATCTGATTCTTTTTCATCGTATCAAACTGGGTACGTGTTCGCTGCTATCACGACTTGCTTAATTGACCTTATAAGTTCAACCATATAAACAAAAGTTAGGTTAACAGGAATCTTTACCTAAACATGTATAATCTACACCTTTTTGTAATGAAATAAACGTTGCCTGAAGATTGCATTAAGCGTGAAACTCAGAGAAGCAACTTAGAACCTCCATGCTCCATATGCCAAAAGCGCACGAACTTTGTGTTATTTACACAAAAATTAACAAATGACTTACTTCTATGCCTTTATCTGCTGCTTCAAAGTCGAGTAACTTTGAGAAAAAGTAGAATTCACCGTCCAGGGCTTTTTGCTTGCTTTCTGATTTTGCAAATCCGTGATATTCACCTAACAGGAACAAGATACAAAAGGTTAGGCACTGGCTATGGGCTGACATATACATTAGAGGGACAAAAAGAGCATGTCTTTAAGGGAAACAATGATGATACCACAAAACCAAGCAAATATACCCTTGTTAGTCAAGAGCTGAACAGAGAAAAGTATAATAGGCAGTAGTATCATAGAAGGTTTTACAAGAAATTTAATGCTGTTGTTTTATCTACGTTCAAGAATGAAAGATTTTCAAGGCGAATTAAGTCTAGAATTATAATAGCAAAGATTGATTGCCTAACAGTTATTCATACCTTTGAAAAGAACAAAAGCACAGGGCAGCCCTTTGGCTTTGATTGCATCAAACATCTTGTGAGCTTGATTCGGTGGAACAACCTTAGAAAAGAAATTTAAGCTAGAAATAACTTTCCCTTTTACTGTAAACCTTCGAACTAGCCACCCCCTCAAAGAAGCCCAAATCTTAAAACTGCCCAAAACGATAAGCTCCCGGGGGCAGCAGCCCAAAGCGAAGGTAGATTTTAACGGAAAATTACAGACAAAAAACTGAGTAGGAGGTCAAAATTTTGGTTTCAAACTCTTCAAAGACTAAATCCTTTGATTAGGCTTAATAGTTTTATGGTTCTGCCTATGAACCAGAAGTACAATTTAAAGCTTGCAGCTGAAAAACCTGTTTTATCAATAGAAAACCTAATTCGTCTTTATGTATATGGGGATGTTGAAAAAATCTACCATCACTGTAACGTGGTAGGCTGCCAGTGCTGAAAATTACATTGTGTATGAGCAACAAATATAACCATAACTAGGGTCCATCCTAGAATATATTTCCTATGAAAGTAAAAACCGGAAAAAATTTCCTAAACAAAGAGACAGGTTCTAGAATAACACCAAAGCAACTGCAACGGGAATCCATAGTTATATTGGATTGATAGCAACATACATTAAAAAAATAAACAAATAAAGCCATAGAATCTAAAAGAACTACAATAAAGTATAGTGATTTTGCAAACAATTTTTTTGTGGTATAAAATTTAAAAATGGCTTTGAAAAAAGCAAACATTTGAGCATACTAAAGCTTTATATTTCCTAGCGTAGACCTTTCGATCTATTTTCTGACGTTTTATATTCTGAAGAGTATCAAACGAAAAGCTTTAGTATACTCAAATGCTTGCTTATCCAAAGCCATCAGTAATTTTGTACTAAATATATACTATCGATTGGGCAGACTGTGTGTAAAACATGTTATCAAGCAATACCTTATCAAGTTCTCCTTGGAAGAAAGCAATTGGCTTCTTCAGGCTATCGAGATGGTAAATCGGAGACCTCTCACGAGCCAATTTCAAGCCCTTGTCGCCAGGTAGTAGCAAATTATCAATGTATCTGCTCTCAAACTTATGAGTTTCCTTGATAAGTACTACAATATCTGAGATTCCATAGTGACTGGATCCTGCAGCAAAAACGTCTGTAAATGTGAGTGATGCCAATACAACATATCCACCGGCAGATCCGCCACTGATTACCAGCTTTTTTGGATCAACAATCTTCTTTTCGTGTGCAAGATATGATGCACCTTTTGCGCAGTCCTCCATATCATAAACACCCCAGCTATAATAGAATAGAAAAGGAATTGCTTTCATAAAAAACATTTCAAATAAACAAACAAACATAAAAAGGTTGAAATGATGTTTCTGTTCTTCATTGTGGTCCTCTTGACAGCAAAATTTTTGATGGAAATTTATAAAAAGGACCAAATTATAATTTATCAGCTAATGCAAATCTGAAGTTCATCTTAATGAACATTCAAAGTTATTTATCTAACAGAATCCTGGCCATCGGTTTTCGATTAAAACAAATCTTAACTGTAATAAATGTAAGCTTGTAAACATAAAAGAATTGAAAAGGAAAAAAATTAACTTTTGTTTTGATAGAATGGAGAGTGCAACAGTCAAACGGAACAAATATTAGCGAAGAACAGAATATAAATCAGCTAAGCTTTTATCAGTCACTGGGGAGTTAATAGTAAAAAGTTTCACTTGCTGGTTTAAACGGAATATAAAAGTATTCTTTAGAGTTTACAATAATTGAATGCTGTTGAGGCGGTCTGAAACTGAAATAAAACGGATGGAATGAAATAATATTGGTAGATAGGGATTTTTCAATCAAAGAGAATAGTAAATCTTCTAAAAGAAAGAGGGAATCATACAAGAAAAAAATGGATAAAAAAGGTTAAATCTTACTTTCCATAGAGCGAGGTCCTAAACTTCCGTCCATACCCAGTACTACCTCTGTAATCAACATCAAGTACTGCAAAACCACGTGACGTGTAATATTGAATATTGTAATCGAGGGCAAGGCTGGCTGCAGCAGTAGGTCCACCATGAACTTGTATCAGCAAAGGAGGTAAGGCTCCTTTCGGTGCACTGTAATCCTTGTTCTATGGAAAACAATTTACATTTGTAATTGAAGATAGAAACAAAACAAGATGAAGCTTTGACAGATATGTTAACAAAACATGTAAACATTAAAGAGACCGAGTATCTGCGGGAAAAAAGAAGCACCTTTTTAGTTTTACAACACTTCTCACGTCTCATAACATCAAATTGCTGTAGTGAAACAAAGGCTGGGAATGGTGTCTACTCTACAAGGTTAAAAAGTCTTTGAAAAAAGCAAACATGTGAAAACATGGTTAAGCTTTGCCTTTGACACTATCTTCATTGCATAAATTGTCATATAATCTCAAACTTTAAGCTAGGATATGTTTATATACTCAGCTAAGGACCAAAATAGGCCAATCAGAAAACACAAGCACATCACAACAAAAGCACAAGTCATGTCAAAACTTTCCTACCATAGAAAAACTTTCCTATCATGTCAAACCCTATAAGAGGGATTGTTGAGCCACACTTTCAGTATTGCTACTCTGGGGCTATGCCGGTTCGACTGAGCTTAATAACAAGACCAGTTAACAGTTATATTCACTGAAATTACAAATGTATGTAAATGCTAATGATACATTACAAATTCATTTAAAAGCATAATGTATTGCGAAATAGTATGCCCACCTTTACAACGTAGGCTGCCTTACCTCTGGCATATAAAGATATCCATATGCTTTTGACTTGTTATCTTTTCCAGTGGGAAATGTGATCTTTTCTGGCTTGGATAAGTAGGCTTCATCAATGAGCGAATTTGAAGCGTTTTTCAAGATCTCCACATTTCCAGATGCCAATTCTACACTTAATATGGCACTGTGTGCTATAGGACTATCTCCAAACAGATATACGGATTTTCCATCAGGAGAAAATAGTACAGTTTTAGGGTGATAGCCCTTTGAGGGTAAATTTTCAACTTTTCCACTATTCTTGTAAATAATCGCAGGTTTCTAAAATAAAGCAAAGTTGACAACAATCATGAAAACAAATGTTTTTGGCAGTACAAAATGGCTTGGAAAAAGCGAGAATTTAAAAACATTTTCAAGTTTGTCGTCTCACACTTTTACGAGCATAAAACGTCAGAATATTGATTGACAAGACTCTAAGCTACAAAATAAATATTAACAATAGGTCAACAAACAGGAAATGCGAGCATTGCAAACTAAAGGTCATGTCCAATCAGTGCTGCTTGCCTATTGAAAAGGTTACCAATGAAGTCCAAGGGTAAAAACTCCTTATGTCTACACAATAGCAGTTATTTCAATAATCAAGCACATCATAGTTGACAGGGTTTTTTCAATCATTAAAGCAAAATCGATCAAAGAAACTGGCTACAGAATTGGATATATTGATTGCAAATTGACAGATATCAGCACTGGGGCCAACCTACCCGATCATTAATGAAAACAATATTGCCATTATTAGAAACAGAGAACAGATCGCAACCAAGCCTCCATTGTGGTTGGCCCAAGTCTGTGTCTACTTTATACAAGTTTTTCCCTTCTTCGTAAATGTTCCACCAATTGGTTTCATCAGAAATATAGAGGACAGTCCCATCTGGGCTCCACCTGGGATGCATAACATTCAGCCCTGCACGACCTTCCACCTAATAATTGTAAAGCAAAAATCAGATAAGGCTGCCCTCTAATGCAAAAAACTTGTGATTGATAATTCTTATAAATTAGTAATATTTTCATATGTCATTTATACTTTATTGACAAATCTACCATTGCTTCAATACCTTGGCTCTATTAATGTTTTAATACTGGTGGGGCAATGAGCTTGTGTTGATATTTGCAAACCAAAAAGAAATCAATAAAGAACAGACAAGAGTAAAAATTTTGTAAATTGCATCTTGCAAAAACTATAAACAAGGAAAACAAAAGAACCTTACATAAAGTACCACTGATTTTCCTGCAACAGACAAACATTTTCCAAAAGTAAGTGATATCAAAATAAATAAATATAAAAATATAAAATGGCCATACACAAACAATAATACCTTTTTGATTGATGACTGCATCAGTGATGTCACCTGGTCATCAAAGCTACCTTTATATATCTGAGTGTCATCCCAAGGCTGAAAATAAATCAAAGCTACATACAAATCCAAACAAGCCTAATGCAACATATCTGAAAATACAAAGTCTTAGCATTCATGCATCCATGAAGCTTTTTGCCTTCTTTGCTGTGGCTATTAAGAAGGATGCACAAAGGGTTACACAAAATTCCAAAAAGAACAGTGTTCTTCAAAATAGGTACAGATATAAAAAAATTTATCATCAAAAGGGAAATTGATGACCCCTTGTTTCAAACAAATGCCTAACATCAGTGCCAAGTCAAAGTAAATGAGGATGAGGGCTTTGTCCGTCATAGTACATATATAAGCAGTTGCCAAAAAAGTTGCCAGTAGTGGCTACAGCCCCTCAATAATTGCAAAACTGTGTTATATTTCCTTTCTGGTGGCATTGATTATGGCAATTAAGGCAATAATTGATATCAGATGCACCAACTCATGAACAGAAATGGCCTAAAATGTTTAGCTTAATAGCTTAAGAAAACTTAGTGCAAATAAATGATCATGAAGTGACAAGCTTACCATATTGGGGTGTGACCATTGCATCCATACCAGCTCTTTTCCATTGGGAGATATTTTCGGTGAGGCGTAAAAATCTGATCCTTTTACCTGAAAATTGACTAACTGTCTAGTTCATCGTTAACTAACTCAATCTTACAGACATTAAAATGACTCATAGTATAAAAATTACCAGACAAATAATTATTTGCTTCATCAATATTTTTTGTGTCTTTAACAAATGAACAACTTCTATTAAAGATTGTCATGACACATTCATAAAATAATATGCACTTCGGCAATGTTTGTTTATAATATATATAGCCATCAGTTTTTCTCTACTAAAACATACAATGTTATGAATATTACCTTAATTCTAAATCAATGTTGTAAATAATTTAGATTTCCTCGTGGCAATTTTTTCTGATTTCCTCATGGCAATTGCATGATTTTTCTGAACATCACCTCAATAGTGATGTCCCTCATAATTGTTTTTATGCAGTTTAGTGAAAAGATACAATAACAATACTTACATATATACATACATACATACATACATTACTTTTATATTTACTTTTATAGCAGGTCGGAAGTAGTCAGCATAAAGCTGATGTGGACCTGCTTACACTAAACCAAGGATAAAAATTTAAAAGTTACAATTTGTTAAAACGAAAATAATAATGTTGAATTTGCTGTAGTTAAAATAACATCTAGTAGTATTTAAAATTATCCAAATCTTTCTATTTGATTGTTGTTGAGCTATTGAAGATTGCTGCATCTATTTCTTTAGAATGTTTTGAGAGGGTCTCTTTGAAATGTTTGTAGTTTTTTGTACTCTTTACACTCTCAGGCAGTAAGGTCCACAGTAGCCCCAATCTGTATTTAAATGTCTTTTTTCCTTCTTCTGACTTTGGTCATGATACATTGAGTTTCAGGTTGTCTCTCATGTTCCGTGAGTTTCCACTTTTTTCAACAATGTTGCTAATCACGTCTGGACAGTTACCATAATATGCTTTATGTGTTAAGCAAATTACCTTTCTTTTGTACATGTACTGTATTGACTTCCAATTTGCTTTTTTTAACACATCTTCACTATCTGTTCCCCTAGGTATCTTGTGTATTATGCGTGCCACCCTTCTATGTACTTTTTCTAAGTGCTCCGTTTTTGTAGAGGAGCAATTACCCCATAAGGATATTCCATAAGTCGATCCTGGAGGGATTACTTTGAAGTATATTGTTTCAAGGACTTCAGATGGCAGACTTTTCATTCTTTTCAGTTGTTTGATTTTACTGTTCATAATGGATGCAGAATTCTTGATATGTGTTTCCCAATTCAACTTGCTATCAACTATCATTCCTAAACATTTTGATTCTGATACATAGTTAATGATCTGGTCTTCTATCTTGATTGGTTTCCCAGGTCCAATAAAGGGCTTTTTTGACAGTAAAATTACCTCTGTTTAGTATGCAGCTAGGTTTTAATGAAGTAAAAAACAAACACTTTATAATTCTTGATCACAACCTGTAGTAAATTTGTTTTGTTACAACCTCATCCACTTAAAAGCATGCTCCTTGATGCTTCTTTCTTTCAAAAAAGTCTTGAAGCTACAAGGCATTTCCATTTTAGACAAATAGCAATCAGTTGGTCTCAAACAGTTAATCTAAACAAATTATTCAACTTAATAGGTAAGATTACTTTTTTCAGTATCTTGCCTATTTCTTATTATAAAAATTCCTGGAAAGACTTACCAGAACTGTTTCGGTCTGCGAAGCTAGATCAATCATAACAATTGTATTTTGTGCCTCTTTATTTGTTCCACTTTTCACAACACTGTGGTCTTCTCTAACACATATTAGTTTATTAGCAGTTGCATGGAAAGCACAGTCTCCATACCTCATGTCATCAGTTTTAGTAATTGCAACAGGATTTTGAAGGGGTGCATTCATCATATACAATTTTTGATCAGAATGGTTAACGAAGTACACCACTCCGTTGTAGACAATGAATGCAGCTCCACCATATTCATGCACTCTTGAACTTAGACTAACTGAGCTGGCTGTCCATCTTGTCAGTTGCTGGTCTTTAATTTTAAATGAGTACAGTACATTTATGCCACCTTCATCTGGGTGAAGTTCGGTCCAGTAAATAGTTCCTTAATTCAAGAAAAGTCAAAAAAGGTTATTTTTCCTAATGTATAACCTCTAACTGCTTTTGAAAATCTCAAATAGGGACAATGAGATTTGTCCCTATTTGAGATTTGTAGATACAATGCGGACAAAATAGTTAATACGACAATTCCGAGTACACACTTTCATAGTCTTGCATGACAATCTTGGAATTTTCAAATGCCCCCCCTAAGATCTCCGGCAAACGTGCCCTAATTTCCAATGATCAATGATGCCTATATAAAAACATTAGTTGCTTATTTACTATCGGCCTGAGAACTTGTTATGACAATTTGTCAACCATATTGGTAACGTTTCCCCCAGTATAAGGCGCCCCAGTATACGGTCCAGCCCCAGTATAGGGATTGTCAATCAAGATTATGTTCTTAAGTGCCGCCAAAGCCGTTTCGGTTCGTTATCGTCGCGATGATAGATAGAAGTTATTTCAAGTCACAGCGGCTTCTCGGCCAGTAGACATTCAGCCATACACTTTCAGCAAGCGGCCATGTTGTAACAGCCGTACTTGAAAGACATCCGCGTAGCTCACCTTTAAAATATTATACCTTTAAAACTCATACAAAATATAAGTTTAGCTGTTTAAGTTTCGTTTTATTTTGCTCGTACCAAGTTTTGGTGCGACTATCGAGCCGAGTAACGTGGGAGCCTTTAGCAAGAATATAGGGCTCGCTCGTTCAGCTGACAACTACGGGGGTCAAATTGTTTCTAGGATACAGTTTTGAAAAAATCTTGACTGAAACTGTTTCGCCGGCCAATTGAAATCGGTGCACTTGCGTTTAGACTTTATTTGTTTTATTGTTTTGTGGGGTTCCTGGTGTTTAATGTTGCTTGCCTTGTTTATATGACGAGCATTGACTGGGGATTTTTATGAACTAGAAGTTAGAAGAAAGAGGGTTTCGCTATGTTCTCAAGGTTGCAAATCAACCTTTTGATTATATGCAGCATTCTGAAAATCAAGTCCACATGTCACATTGCGTTTTTTGCTTGTTCAAAAATTATCTTCCCTATCGTAACAGTCCGAACAAATCAACAAAGTGTGTTGCAGTAAGGCAATCAACAATCAATACAACATTTTGTATTTTATCATTTTATTAGTAAAAATATGTGGTATACATTACACGCTCATTTCCAACACACACTGACTCCATTAAACCATAAGCAATTAGTTTTTTAGTTATCGGTCCCTTTAGAAAATATAATTACAAAAGATATGTGTAAATGTTCCATGTCAATTAACCAAGCGGCAAATACAAAAGATATTACCAACAATAAATGTGTTAATGATTAAACCTATGTAGATCTATTACGAGACAAAAGAAATAGTAAGAATACTGAAAACACGACCTTGATTAATAACACGCTGGTTAATTACGCAAGTAAACCGTGGGAAAGGCGTTTGCGCGGCAAACTCCCTGCTTTCCGCGACACTCTCCCCCCTTGACTCACTCCGAGTCAAAAACAAGACGGGTCCGCCATAGCGCGTCGGCAGCTGCAGCTCTACGAGGCCTATTTCGTACTTCCTTTCTTTCACTGTCACCATTTCCTATATCCCCCACTTCGTCACTTGTCCCTGTTATCTCCAAAGGATAAAGTTTAGTAATTGGTCTATTAAGTAAATCTCGCTTACCTTTGCAAATCTTAACTACAGAAGCACCCCGTATCTTACCATCCTTACCGACGATTAATCTTTCGATTCTTCCAATCTTCCATTGACTTCTTTTGACATTTTCATCCTCTATCAATACTATGTCTCCTTTATGAATGTCACAATTGTCGGCTCCAGCAGCATTATGCTTTTCACGTAGTTCCCTCAAATATTCGGTTCTCCATCTCTTCCAAAAATGTTGTAATTTCCTAACTAGATAAAGGAATCGTTTACTATGCGAAGTTTCATCATCAGAATAATTAAATTCTATATGATCTGCAAGAGGTGATAATCTCCTACCAAACATTAAATGAGACGGTGTTAGTATGTCAACATTAAAATCATCCTCTTATATGTACGTCAGTGGTCGAGAATTCAAAATTCCTTCCACTTCTACTAAAACAGTATGCATTTCAACCTTATTCAAAAGAGCATTGCCAAGAATTTTTCTAAGTATACGTTTAACTAAACCAACCATTCGTTCAAACATGCCACCCCACCACGGACTTCTTTCTAGATTAAATTTCCATTCTATTCTTCTTGACTCCAACTCCCGCTGCATATCTTTATTTCTGAATATACGATTGATAGACTTGGCTGCTGCCTTAAAAGTTTTTGCGTTGTCGGATACGATTAACTCTGGCGTACCTCTTCGAGCAGTAAATCGTCTTAAGCATCTTAAGAAAGACTGAGCTGTAAGGTCTTCCACCAATTCTAAATGTAAAGCACGTGTTACACAGCATGAAAAAAGGGTGATATACGTTTTACGTGTTTTACCCTTTAACCCCTTGACATACAACGGTCCAGCAAAATCAACACCTACTTTGCTGAAAGGCGGCGACTCCTGTACTCTAAAATTTGGTAACGGTGCCATAGGTGGTGCCTTATAAGCCTTACCCTCCAATTTCTTACAGATTATACAAGGCTTGATAAGCTTCTTAATGAATTGCCTCCCCTTAGTAATCCAAAACCGAGATCTTAATTCCGTTAAAGTGATACGAAGACCCTCATGCCCCATTAACGCATGGACATGTAAAACAACGAGTTCCGTGAAATGATGGTTCTTTGGCAATATTATAGGAAATTTGCTCTCAAATTCCATATCAGAGTTTGATAGTCTACCTACACATCTTAAAATACCACTCTGCTCTTCAATGCGTAGCTGTTTCTTAAGCAATTCAAATTTTGGATCTTGTTTCAAGACTGCCTGCGCATTAATAATCCACAACCTTTCCGCAGACAAGATTTCTGGTACAGTTACAGATCCAATTAATTTTTCCTGTTTGTTCATTTTAGCTTTAAGATTATTTATGAATCGGCAGACATATGCAGTAACGCGTACAAGCTTATCATACGAACTGTACTTATTAATGTCAATGAGTTGATCAATATCCTTAGAACTCTCCTCTCTAATCAACATGGAATTGACAACCTTCTTACGTTCCACATCTACTTCAGAAGGTCTACCTAAATCAATATTTGACGGCCAACAAGACTTATCTTGACATAACCAGTCTGGACCATGCCACCATAACTCACTATCCTTCAAAGTATCAGCATAAACCCCACGCGATCCTAAATCTGCTGGATTATCTTTACCGGGACAATGTCTCCACTCTTCACTTGAAGATAACCTTAAAATTTCATTCACTCTGTGTTGCACAAACTGTTTCCATTCATTTCTGTTATTTATCCAAAACAATGCGGTTTTACTGTCAAGCCAAAGATACCTTTCCTCTATATAACAGTAACTACTTAAGGCTGAGGAAACAGTTTTAATTAGTGTTGCAAGAATTCTAGCAGACATTAATTCTAAACGCGGGATAGAAAGAGCTTTCAATGGTGCTACTCTGGTTTTTGAACATACTAGCTGACTGAAAACTCCTTCCTTAGCTTCATAAACAAAATACACGGTAGCACAATAACCCTTTAAAGACGCATCAGCAAAACCATGTAGGGAACAATGCAAAATTTTCTCAGCATTCTTCCCATACAAACATCTGGGAATAACAATAGAGCCCACATTAATTAATGAACTTAACCAATTATTCCAACGCTCTAATTTATCAGGGGGTAACTCGTCGTCCCACCCAATATTTTCGACACACAATTCCTGAAAAAGAAATTTCCCATTAATCAGAATAGGCGAAAGAACTCCTAACGGGTCAAAAGTTTTTGCAAGAAAACTTAATATTTCACGCTTCGTTACTTTCTTACCCAGTAGTTCGGATGCAATTTTCGAAAATTCGAATTGCAAGGTATCTTCACGTTGATTCCAATGAATCCCTAAAACTTTACATGAGGAATCAATATCCTTTCCCTCATTCAAGATGGTTTTCGCATACGAATTGTCGCATTCTTTTGTCTTAAAATTCAACTCCTGAATAGCCTCAGATTCAATAACCTTCGCGACTTCGGGTTCATTAGTTTTCCATTTGCGTAAATGAAAACCTCCTTCAGCCATCCTGTTCTTAACCTTATAATACAATTCCAGCGCTGCTGTTACATTCTTAGCTCCTGATGCTAGGTCATCTACGTAAAATTCATTTCTTACATGTGATACAAATTGCGGATCGACCTCTGTATATTTGTCAATATGATGACGTAAAACAGCATTGAGTAAAAATGGAGATGAATTTACTCCAAAAACTACTCTATTAAAACGATACGTCTCAATAGATGGCGACTGGGAATTTATGTCATTAACCCACAAAAAACGTAAACAATTCCTGTCTTCAGGATGCACTTCTATGTTTAAAAAGGCTTTCTCAATATCGGCGACTAAGGCGACTTGGTGATGTCTCCAAGAGACAAGAAGATCAAAAAGCAACGGATTCAAGGACGGGCCTACGTGTAAACAATCATTCAAAGAAGTACCATTGTGTTTTTCTCTACACGATGCATCGTAAACAATACGCAATTTGGTGGTCTCTGCCTCCTCCCTTATAACAGCATGATGTGGTAAATAATGAACATTGCTAGAATTATCTAAACCTACAACCTTCTCTATAATCCCCCTCTCAAGCTGGTCCTTAAAGGAGAACTGACACGCAAAAATAACTTTGGCTTATTCGATGCAAAATTTGTCGCTGATTTCAAATCTGGAAAAAGTTTTCTTCTTAGATTCGCCGTTTTTCTGATATTTGCACTTTTATCCGTCAAATACGTCACAGCCAGGACTCGGGAATTTCCCGAAGCGGAAACAAGATTATCGCCAGGAGTTGTTAAAATTCTCGGTTGACGTCACAAGTGACATGTTAACAATGCCGTTGTAAAGGCTTTCACCGCAACGGTGAAAATACAAGTGAAGTTTCGTGTTTTATT